GCTATTCTTGCTCTTTCTGCTTCTTCTCCAATCACTTGTTCTTTTCTTAAATTTAGTTCTCATCTCAATGTTTTTAATATGAGGTATCTTTATGTTTTAAATTGATAAAATAATACAAGATATAAGGCATTTTCATACTTTTATGTACGATGCTGATAATTACATTAATTATATATATTATGCACACATGAAACTCGGTGCCAAAGTATGAGTATAAATTTATACCTTGATGTAATTTGTTATGTAAGTTCTTTAATTCTTCTACTTCTGAATTGGATTTGATTTATTTTTGGTAAAGGATGGACGAAGTACTTTTTAGGAGCTCTCAAAAAATTGAAAATATGCAGGTATGCATAGAGAAATTAATAAAATAATTGTTTTTTTTTAAATGTTTTTAAAAATTGAATCTTAGTTACAAGCGGAGCTAACAGCCACCAAAACAAAAGAGGCCTTAGTTTTGTATTCTCAGCAAGGGAGATTACTAGTTGCACAATTATGGCATAGTTCCATAGCAGAACAGTTAAAAGCCAGTTTGAAAGAAGTTAGTTCTAAAATAGTATCTGCTGCTAAAGATGTCCAGGCTCGTATAATATACATCTTTGATCCAAGGTATATATATCGAAACTTCATAATAGTATTTGGGAGAAAATGTAAGTAACAACATGCTTATAAATATAGTTTGTAAATTGTTTAAAATCTGCCAGGGACTAAAAGAGATGTTTGTTTTGGATGTGCTGGATTTATACTTGGTGGTATAATTGGACTGGGTGTTGGTTTGGCACTGAGGAAGAAAGAGCCGGTAATACGTTACATGCAAACAGTGCAGTGTAATCATTACTTAGGTGCAGAGGTAACTTTTTGAGAAGAAAATTTTCAGTGTAATATTGACCTTATTTTCTAGTCTGTTACTGTTGTAGAAGATGCAATTGCCCCCTATGAATGCCAGGAGAATGAAGTTCTCATAAACGTTAAAGCCGGCTCTGTTCAAGGAATAGATTTACAAATCTGTAGTGGCTATGGACGTACTCTGAGAAAAATTTTAAACAATGTGTTTAAGGTGGGTAAGAAAAATCTTGTGATCCGTCGTGTTCATTAAGTCTATTACCATTTTCAGCAATCTAATTCAGATCTTCCGGTTATCTTAGGAAGGGATTGCACAGGAATTATAACAGATATTGGTTCTAAAGTGAAACGCTTAGAAGTAGGAGATGAAGTTTGGTTCGCGGTTCCTTTTTGGTCTCAGGGTACATTGTGCCAAAGTGTGTTAGTGTCCGAAAATCAAGTATCGAGAAAACCGAAAAGCATTGGCTTCGAAGGAGCTTGTAGTCTTCCTTACGCCGGCAGTATAGCATTGTCGGCTCTAGAAGAAGCTAATATCCACGAGTCTAATGCATCAAACAAAAAGTAAGTATATACAGTGTGTACCATGATTTTTGGAACTGGGTGGTTTCCTTATTATTGTTTCAAATTCGTTAATAATAGAAAATTCTTAGGATTCTCGTCGAAGGAGGTTGTACGCCTGTAGGTTGTGTGTTGATACAGTTACTAAAGAATTGGAAAGCCACTGTAACCGCCACGTGCCTCAAGAGGGCAGTACCGGTAGTCAAGGCTCTTGGTGCTTCTGATATAATAATCCTCGCCGAACCAACGAACCCCAATAACAACTCTTCATTGGAGAATGAAGAACGCATTCTCGTAGAAAACGCTCTGTTAAAAGAACTCGATTTAAGGGGCAACGTTTACGATGCTATAATAAAGACAAGTTACGAATGTAACGTCATTATTAACGATTTCAAAAAGTTTTGCGTTTCTGACGGGGCAGTTGTATCAACTTTACCTCCAATTCTGTCTTCAGATTCGTATGGTTTCCTCAAACGGATGCTTCTTACGTTATACATTAATTTGAAATGTAGATTGCAGGTAAATAATTTTTTTATTGACATATTTTCAAGTTATTGAAAATCCCTTATGTACTTTTCATCGGAGCGTTATTTTAAAGATATGGTCAATGTTTGAACTTAACAGAATGAAAATTGTTAGAATTATGCTGCATGCATTTAAAAAATTGTGTTTCGAGAAAAATGCCTTTCAAGTTTTGACATACAGGGTGATTCACAAACGATGCCCAAAAATGAAACTTCTTATTTTTTGAACGTAACTTAAAATATTTTTAATTTTTTTAAATAATTTAAAAACTAGTAAGAGAAATAATTTGCAATTGGGCATTGTATTTATGTAAACATTATCCAAAATCTGAAGTCCTTTCCTAAAATTTAGATGCTACATTGTCGGAGATACAGGTTATCGGTGGTATATTTTTCTAAATAAAATAGTATACCACTGCTTTACGGTAAAAATCATGATATTGTTGTATTCGTCTTTCAACTTTCAACGAATTACTACTCTCTTATGTTTTTCGAAAAAAGCCTTATTTTCGAGTAAAACTTAAAAAACGCACTGAAATCTGCTGGATTTCTTGTGGGGTGCTGTTAAACGGCTGGTATACCGTGAACAAATTAATAAACCTGAGCAGTTAGAAGAAAGAATAAATAATGCTTTCATCAGATTTAAGCAAATTTAAAACATTATGGTTGTTACTGTAAAACAGTGGCGTACTATTTTATTTAAAAAAATAAGCTACCGATACTCTGTATCTCCGCCATTGGAGTATCTAAATTTAAGAAAAAGTCGTCAGATTTTGGACAATGTTTACATAAACACACGTGCTCAGTTTCAAATTATTTCACTTACTAGTTTTTAAATTAATTAAAAAAATTAAAAATATTTTTTAAGTTTAACACCTTGTACATTTTTGACGAACCGTCTTAGATAAAAAGAATACGAGGTTTCATTTTTGGTCACAATTTATGAATCACCCTGTATACGCAATTCTAACGACATCTATTATCAGAGAAGTTAGAAATCAAACGGTAAGTCGTTAGGATGTACCTGTGCTGCAGGTATTCAGGTGCCGCAGGTAGTCGTTTCAGAGCAGTTCGATGCGTTTGGGAAATAGCTCGCAATTTCAAAGACAGAAAAATTGTATGGGCATAAAACCTCTTTCATCTTATTCTGAAGGTTCAAAGCATCTTTTAAATAAGTCATTAAAAAAAAGATTCTCNTCTTGGTATTATTACCAGTACCTCTTTCCATAAAAATATTTGTCACAATCGGTATAAGCTCGCCCGCAAAAATTCGCCTTACCAATTGCAATAACCGAGTCACTAATGCGCATGGTTGCGAATATATACGGTTTGAGCAGCCTGATCCAATTTAACTATTCATGCGAATTAATCTGTCTGGAGCAGTTTGAGCCCTATAAATTTTTAGCAAATATATACGTCTGGAGCAAAATAATGCTTTCATCAGATTTAAGCAAATTTAAAACATTATGGTTGTTACCGTAAAACAGTGGCGTACTATTTTATTTAAAAAAATAAGCTACCGATACTCTATATCTCCGCCATTGGAGCATCTAAATTTAAGAAAAAGTCGTCAGATTTTGGACAATGTTTACATAAACACACGTGCTCAGTTTCAAATTATTTCACTTACTAGTTTTTAAATTAATTAAAAAAATTAAAAATATTTTTTAAGTTTAACACCTTGTACATTTTTGACGAACCGTCTTAGATAAAAAGAATACGAGGTTTCATTTTTGGTCACAATTTATGAATCACCCTGTATACGCAATTCTAACGACATCTATTATCAGAGAAGTTAGAAATCAAACGGTAAGTCGTTAGGATGTACCTGTGCTGCAGGTATTCAGGTGCCGCAGGTAGTCGTTTCAGAGCAGTTCGACGCGTTTGGGAAATAGCTCGCAATTTCAAAGACAGAAAAATTGTATGGGCATAAAACCTCTTTCACCTTATTCTGAAGGTTCAAGGCATCTTTTAAATAAATCATTAAAAAAAAAGATTCTCTAACAATTTTACAGTGAACTTATCCCTTAAGTTATCAGGCATAAATTATATACAGGGTGTTTGGAAAAGTTGGTACGAAATTTAAGAGGGTGAAAGTAGCGCCAAAAATGGTAAAAAAAGTTCCTATAAACATTGGTCCTCCAGAGCACCGTTACGGAAATATGGTCCTCCAAATGGGTCTTATCATTTTGATATTTTTTAAAATAACTTTCTTTCTGATTAAGATAATGGAATGAAAATTGTACATAATAATCATACCATAAGGGTCTTTAACTACCTAAAGTTTCACCAAAATCGGTTATAAATAAGGATAGTTTTGTAACTACTCTTTAACAGAAATTTTTCCAATTTTTTTTATTCCTTTGTATTATCAAGCAAATAATATTATTTTTTAATGAATTAGACTTTTTTGAAGAAAAAATTTGTACTAATTTTTTTTTCAAATTCTGTGTAGTTTAGTCAGAAATCATTCAATTAAACTGTCACTATGAAAGATGCCTACTGTGTGAAAATGTTAAAAAAAGTTAACTGTTCTGAGCTATTCATTATTTAAAAAATAATTATTTCTGACTAAACTACGCAGAATTCGAAAAAAAAGTAGATACATTTTTTCTTCAAAAAAAGTCCAATTCATTAAAAAATAATATTATTTGCTTGATGATTCAAATAAATAAAAAAAATTCAAAAAATTTCTGTTAAAGAATAGTTACAAAACTATCCTTATTTATAACCAATTTTGATGAAACTTATGATAGTTAAAGACCCTTATGGTATGATTATTACCTATAATTTTCATTCTGTTATCTTAATCAGAAAGAAAGTTATTTTAATAAATATCCAAATGATATGACTTTTTTGGAGGGCCATATCTCAGTAACGGTCCTCCGGAGGACCAATGTTTATAGGGACTTTTTTTACTATTTTTGGGTCTACTTTCACCCCTTTAAATTTTGTACCAACTTTTCCAAACATCCTGTATAAGATTATTTCAAGACATTTAAAAATATATATACAACTGGCCATGCTTTTTTAATTTCAACACCTTGTATCTCGTAAAAAAAGCCTTTCCGGAAGAATGTTTTTTATCAATTTGTGATGTAGTTGGCACCATTACTGTTTGGCAGAGTATATCATTGACATCTTGTATATTGCGTTTTACATTTGAAGAATTTTCATCAAGTTAAACGAGAATAAACAAGAATTTATGAACACAAACGTGAAGGACCTGAGAACTTATGTTCTACCTGATAACCGTTGCATAATTAAGAAACGGGAGATAGTTTATGCCCTAAAAATTAAAAATTTTTATTTTTTTTTGAAGATTTTAGTGAAAATGCTGAATATTCCCAACTTTCTCCAAGATATTCTTAAATTCAAGAAAATTCAGAAAATCTTTTCCTTTTACATTTTCAAAGGGAACGTTCGAAAATGTTTTTCGTATACAAACATTCACGAATATTCTCAAGGACACATTGAGAACATTCTGTCTTGATTCGAAACAGTATAGTCAAATTTTTAGATTACTTTTACAACCATTCTATTTTTCTGAAATGCAAAACTGATACAGGATATTTTTGAATCTTACAGAAAACGTTGGGTTTACCAATTACCGATTTTGACGAAATCCATCTGTGTTACGTGACACTGGACAGGCTGGCAAGTTTCGTAGAAGACGGGTCCTTACAGACGGTGGTCGACAAAGTGTTCTCACCTCAAGACATCGAAATCGCCCTTAATCACATACAGTCTCCACACTCCATCGGGAGCACTATTCTGACATTCAGATAGCACATTGTTACCTGTTCCCGTTATAGTTTTATTTAATTTAACGTTGGAGAGTGGCCGAACACGTTTTACAAATTTTACGTACTATACAACAAACCCAAAAATATATTTATGAAAAATGCGTTTAAAAAATATCCGAAGGTATTTTTTTTATTTTTATAGTTTTTGGAAAATGTAATGCAACCTCACAATGTATTTGATTAATTTTTTGTAATTTTTGGAAAGATAAAGAATTTTTGTTTGGTTTTCTTTGCTATTTATAATTTTTTTTATAGTAAACTCGTCGGCACCAAATTTTAATCTTCACAAGTTTTTTTTCCTGATTTTTGTCGCTTCAAGTGGATATGGACAAGAATCAGTATCGATACTAAAATTTTTCCATAAATTTTAAACATTTTGAATAACATTCACATACCTCTATAAGAAGTTGTTACTAATTTACTACCGACTAGCTAGTAATAATGTATTTTTCCGAAGTAATCTATACTTGTGATTAAATATTAATGTATTATTCAATAATACGAGCCGTAACAACTAAATGTTCAGACGATATTTTATTTGTTATAAGTCTAATGCAATTTTTAATTAAAGTTTTTCAAATTCATCTAGCTATGAAAATTCGGTAGTCTAGAAAAGAGATTGACTAGTATTTATCAAAAGAGAAAACTCCAGAGTGAAAAATTCCCAAAAATCTCTTGGATCAGAAATTGCACTTTGAGGGTTGTTCTGCAAGCCCTTGTGGACTTGAATTGATAAGATTTGCAATTTTTCATGTGGCGTCATAATATTTCAATGACATTTAGGTCGGGGTTGTTTGACGGTCAGCACAAGACTAATATCGTCTCCAAGATATCCTGATAATTATCTCCATGAATCCTTGTCGAGCGCTTTCCTTGCCGTAGGTATCACGTGTTTGTTTACAAAAATCCCCAACACACAAGTCAAACTTGGACATCATCACAGCCCAGTCTTCTGATTTATCCAAGTATTCGATTTAATCCGTGTTTATCTTTTGCCTCTAAGGATACACTTTTTCTTGTAAAAACCGTAACCAGACCGGTGTGTGTGTGTGACTGATGACATTACCTCAATATCAGTTTCTTGGTTCCACAGCAGTATTTTCTCGTGCAGCAGCTTTTGTTTGACACTTGCAGATATTAATGGAGGGAAGGACTTTCTGCCCTTTTTATCACTTTTAAGGGTCGACGAGAATACTTTTTACAAACGTCTACACTATCAGTTGCTCAGACACAAATTATAATGGACACTTTTTACTTTCAGCACTTATTTGGTTTTAAAATAAAAGATACTAATGTAGAATACATTTATTCAAGGCCGTGTGACATTGTTATGCTCAAGACTATCACTCGTCTGAACATTTAGTTGTAGGGCCCCTACTATCTTCTTAATATGACAATAACTTTATTTAATGTGATATTACTGTTTAGTGTTCATTTTTATCAAGTACTTGACCACAATGATAAGTAAGAAAAGTGTTGCTACCGTCAAACCGACATAATGAGGTACATTCGAATATTATTTAAAGGAATAATGAAAGATCGAACTGCTCATCTCATATCTTTTTGTATGAAACCAGGCCAATTGGTGTACTATTTGTTTTAGAAAAAAATAAATGGAATATTACAAAGCTCTGTCTTATTTGTATTCTTGTTATATCGCACTATCCTAACCCAGAATTTAAAAACTCCACCGTATATCATAAAACCAGCTTCGCAGATTTGACTGCAATTTTTTATTTTTTTTTTTGGCTGGCACTAATAAATACATCTTCGCAATCTCAAAAACTGAACATAGTCTTAAAACAAATATTTTATTGCAGCCACGCATCATTCACAATAACTAAAATTCAGTAGTCACTTGTATTAATCAATTAAGCAGTAGTTATATAATTACACTTAAATTGTAAAAGAAACTTCAAAATCACACCACTAACAAAGAAATCCTTATAAATGTAAATGACTTATGCAACGATATTCAAGAAAATAGTATACTTTCTATTGGAACTGCTATACGAATCATCACAAAATAAAAGGTATTCCCCGATTCTCCTTCATATTAGTTTGCAATGTTGCGTTAATCAGCTCCTAACAATCTAAGAAATTAGCGGCCATTAACAATTCCAAAGCGATTTCTGGGGCAATTGGAAATTCCGGTATCTCAGTAGAACTGTTTGTATAGCGTACTTTATATGTGAAGTACATGCAAACTTTCTGTAGAACGTGAGACCTAAAATAATGTGATAACTAAAACTATAAAATATCGTTGATAATGGTTTACATTACTTACGGAATTTCTCTAAAATTCACTTCATTAGCCTCATTCTCCGCAAACTGTCCAGGTCCACTCAACATTGCCTTAATGGTTCCAGAAGTTAATGCGTGCTCTCTTTTGACTATAAATTCGTGGCCATCTGACGAAATAAGCTTTACGTACATTGCATCTGGTCCTTCGCAACCGCCATAAACCCGTTCTTGCGTTTTTTCTTCCGATATATCACTCATTTTGTTGACTGCAAGTAGAATTGCTTTAGAGGACGTTATTATATTGATTAAATAATATGAAATAAATATATTTTATACATTCCCAAGGTATAAAAAATAAATATTTACCTATTATCTTCAATTTTTGGCAATGTTAATTTCAATTTCTTTCAACGAGATGACAGGTAACAGTCAACCGTCGTGTTTGAAATTTGACAGCTATGTTCGCAAAATGAATAATGAATGTAAGCCGCTTTCTACTCTTTAAAAACTCCAATCTCACTCAATTGGTACGTCTCCCCGAGAAGCACTAAAGATGCGAAGTGAGGGGGAAGAGGAAAACAAACTAAACAAAAAGGGTTTTTTGGCGAGCTAAATCACATCAAACCCGGTTAGCTCGAGTTTGATTGTGTTAAGAGTTTGAGTTAACATTTGACAGAACTCGCAAAAAATCTTTTGGTTTGGATATCTAATCAATAATAAAATCGTAACCTATAATCTATGATAGTGTTCGTAGCTCAAGTTGTTTGATTATTATATACTATAGTTGTTATTCCTAATCTGAAATGCACATCCATGAAATAACGTTAATGTATAGATGGTTATTATATCAAAATGGGCTTACCTTGTTCACAAATATTATCTATTTCAACGTAAATGTATCGTCTAAAAGGAAGTTAATAAAGATCTATACAGTACAATATAGAAAATGCATATCTACGATTAAAGTTATTTGGATCCTCGATTACTTATACCTATCCAAACCTCTAAAAAACGCAGTAGTGACTAGGTACGATGGTACGAAACAGAAAATAAATAAACAAAGATAGAAATATTAACTTAATATCCAAACCAACCCACAAGTCCGGTTTGATGGTTAGGCAAACTGTGCCAAACCGGGTTAACTACATTTCTTGCCAAAACGTCAAACCTCAACAAACTATAGTTAACCGGGTTAGCGGTTTTCTCGCCAAAAAACCCTTAAAGTAAACAAAAAGGAAAATTTTCAGAGCCTTACAACATATACTACAAGAACGAAGCATGCTTACGGCGACAGTGTAGATGAGACGATGAGTGATAGAGAGAGAAAGAGATAGTTTGTGTATTATCTTTCTCTCTCGCGCTGGTACATAATTGTCTAACGTCTCGTTTTTTTCTCAACGATTAGAGAGAAAAAGCTAGTACCAAATTATCACCATTTCTCTCTTTCTACAGCGTGTACACTTTTTAACCCGAGGTGATTCCTCCATGTATATGCTCTAAGACTATAAGAGTCATTTCACAAGACAGCCGTTCCTTGGAACGTCTGCCATGGCGCGGGTCCCGTGAAATTTGGACGAATACACCTGTCACCTATCCATATTTTTTTATTCATATAACCTGCTAATATTCCATTTTATTAGAACGCAAAGAGTTAGTCTGAATTGGTGGTGAAGTGCTTCCGAAGTACATTTTTTTGTATTTCATTTTGTGTACCAGGCAAGTATTCACGATGCGATATTAGAAGTAAAGATGATTCCATGATTTAAGGTCAGGTTTTTCAACACTTATCTATCTCCCAGTTAAATAAAGGTACATTCGTTCATTCGTTCGTTCTCTCCCTCACCCCGGACGTGATTAGTTCACTACTGATGCACACATATACAGGGTCGGAAAGTCCCCATGGTTCATCGGCCGTTATGTGGAGCGATAAAGAAATCCGTGCCATAGAGAACAAATCCACAAATAAGAAGTGGGTCTTATTTGTGGAAGGGCGAAATGGGCGGTGACTATTAGACGCCTTCATTGTAGCCATCTTTCTCTAGTGCACGGATTTCTATGACTCTATCGCTCTCACGTAACGGCCGATGAACCATAGGGACTTTCCGACCCTGTATATACGTGACAGAAACAATAATGTAAATTAGCAAAACATTTAACACCCCTACTAATTTGATAAAATATATCTGTAGCACAGATAATATTTTTAAATTTCTTTAGACTTAGCAGCAAAATACAAAACTCCCTTAGATCTGTGCGTTATCCTTATAATATACAAAAAATAGATGCAACCATTGATATGTCGAGGATGCAACTCGATGTAAAGTGGTAAAAGTGTATTACACAAAATATATAATGTGTATTAAATACGCCATCAGTGTTTAGAGTGAGAAACACTTTCAAGGTCAATAATTGCATATAGGAGTTATAAAATAAGTTTATTGAATATAAGGAGCACGCGATAACTTCTCGATATACAGGGTGTTCCTAAATAAGTGTCGCAACGGAAAACTGTAAATTCCTCTGGAAAAAAGAAACATGTTTTTCCTCTTCTATTTTTCTCTCCAGGTTTTCGTTTTCGAGATACACGGTGTCAAAACTTTAATTTTCTTTTAGTTTTTGGCCAATATGTTAGGAATCGTTTGAACAACAGGACTGAGCTTTTGTACACACATTACCACTATTAATAGCTACTTTTTCGCACCCTTCTCGAATTCATTGTACGTGCCAGTGGTACAGATTTTAAGCTATCATAAGGGTTTTTCCCCCCTAAATTTTACGCCACTGGAAAAATTTGACTTTTAACAGCAAATTCTAAAGCGCCAATGAATTTTACACAATAAGAGTTCTCTTGGTTCATTGCTCTAAAGTCAATCGTTTTCAAGAAAAATGACTTTATGAACAAAAGCAAACATTTTGCTAATATTTCGAAAATCTTTTGTAATTCAAAAAATAGGTAGTAATAATTAACAATTTTAACGAAATTTAACAACAGATATGATATTAACTTTTTTTTTCAATTTGGCGAGTAAAATTTATAGAAACTGTTCAAAATTACGTCCGTTGACTTAAATGCACATCTAACCATGTTTACGGGATATTAAATTTAAATATTAAAATTTTTTTTAAATACTTAAAACTAGTAAGTGAAATAATCTGTGAAATTGGGAATACAGATTTATCTAAACATTGTACAAAATCTGTAACTCTTTTCTAAAAAATAGATGCTCCAGTGGTATTGCTGGAAAATTTGTCTAAATAAAAAAGTACGCCACTGCTTTATTGTAACAATCATATTTTCGGATTTCTCTTCCAAATTATTTCACTCACTAGTTTCCAAAATGTTGATATTCATTTAACACTGTATCATTTTAGATAAAAACTTTATACGAAAGGCCTAACTAAAGAAAACGAGGTATCATTTTTTTTCACTGTTTGTGAATTACCCTGTACGTCATCGTTTAATAAACTGATATTGGCAACGTTTCACTATAATTTCTTGATTCACGTTACATTTTCTGAAAATTCTAAAATTAGAACAATGTTGATTACTTCTGGACAACAACCCACAATAGTGAAAGGATTTCAATTTTAAAACGTTTTAGACAAAAACTGAAAAAGTTTATACCGTAAGGTATGATGCCCACGCTGGGAGTTGTTAAATTTCAAATCAAAATGGATGGTAGAAAAGGACAGACACAGAATAGCTATTCACAACATAAAAAAAACACTGCTCACATTTGTAGCTTTTATTTATTTTGTCATGCTAGAAACAGTGTTTACGACAAATTACTAAAATTTATTTATCACAGAATAAGTGAACACCACTCTCACTTCTTAACTAAAACACCCGTAAAATAAATATTTTTATATAAACAGTTCAATTTAAATTCGATTTAAGACATACAATAAATCTAATTAGAATAACTATTTTTTTTTTTTTTTAGTTTTGGAAGCATTAATTACATAATACTATTTTCGTAAAATAAAAGTATAAAACCCACCATATTCCATCACAGTTTTTTTTAACGTCTCCTCCCCGTTGGCAAATTAATAAATAAATCAATAAAAAAAAATGTACGATTAAAGTTGTTTAACGTCATAACAGAAAAGGTATTTAGCTACTTAAACATAAATAATAAAAATTAATTTTGGTCCTACTTTACATGGTTAATTTAACAACGAACAACAACGTAACTCAACAAAAACAGAAATGCTTTATATTTTTCTCAAGCGTATGTTACCGAAAAGCATTTATTATATTAGTTAATTGGTCGATACTCTTTTGCAACTGTTTCCTCCTCTTCTCGTTCATGAAAACTATCGAGTGCAATTCCCGCTGTCTCTTCTCGTAAAAATTCGCCCCGCACTGCTGCAACGTAATTTCTTCCTTCATAAAGGAACATCTTCGCCTCAACTGATCCGTCTCGTACCTTCTCTCTGAAAAAAAAAAAAAAATAAAAATATTCTACGTTTATTCATTTGATTAATAAGTTTTCTATCGTTATTGAATCTCCAGTACTGATGGGTTAAATGAAACCAGAGAATATACCAGATATTAATTAAAAAAATTCAGGTTTTCCAGATAAACTTGAAAAATTTTTCCAAGTGAGTAAATGTAGTCTCCACATCAATTTCCCTTTTAAAATAAATCACCTTTTCTAAAATATTTAATGTGATTACTTCAAAAACTATACAGTGACAGTTAAAAAATTTGTAACAAACGGGAAAACCTCCCGACAACCTTCAAACCTTTTAAGAATGAATACGAGCAAAGAGTTTTGTACAGTATGATAATTTTCAACTAACAACGCTTGGACGATCTATTTACGACAAGGACATTCTTTAATGCTATAAATCAGCGGTCTTCAAACTTTTACGACGTGTGGAACCCCGCTAAATTTTCCATTTTTTTTGAGGAACCTCTACACTAGTGATGTAACGAATGCCAGTTTTTAAGCATTCGCGAATACGAACATCTGTTGTGACATTCGCGAATGCGAATAGGAATATTCAGTTTTTAAATCTAGCGGCGTTTATCTACGATTCAAAATATGCCGCGCGCGACGCACATAATATTTCAGGTGACAGGTGACATAAAAGAATTAAGATAGTGTTTGTTTATTTTTTTTTAAAGAAGTTTAAAGCTTCATTCACAACCAGCCAATTACAATTACAATTAGTACTTAGAATTAATATTAGACGTAGGGTGAAAATTAACGTGTTTTGATCATTCAGAACGTCGAATTCTAGCGAAAATTAATTTACAGTAAAGGTCAAGTATTTCTCAATACCCAAGTGATTAGTGAACCCAATATTTTTCGCCTTTCGTCTCGGAAACTTAGTTTATTGCACAATAATAATTTAAACAAACAAATTTAATATAAACAAACATTCACCATATTTAAGGTTAGGTGATTTGTCATTTACTCATTTCTTTGCAACAATGACAACAAGCGCGCACGCGCAAATATTTTTCAATTACAATTGTACTAATTTATAGTGTAAGTGTAAGTATAAGTGGAAACGTTAATTTAAAGGTTGTGAACGATCATGTATAAAGTCACATGCCAAACTTTTACCACTAATTCTAAGTACTAATTATAATTGTAATTGGCTGGTTGTGAATGAAGCTTTATAGCTTCCCTAGTTGGCCTTTGGCAGCTGTTAGTTGTGATGGAAAGCAGTAGTTATAACTATTTTCTATTTCCATTTGAAATTACAACAAACAAACAATTGCTAGTACCAGTAGTTGTCACTTTATACTTATTCGGAAACACGATTATTTTTTTAATATATGCATATGTCACGCCATCTATGTGTTGATTACTCGGACTGTATGTGAATTCATATTTGTGCTGCAGCTGTTGTTTCTAAATATTTTCCTCTGTTTTATTAAGACGGTTAATGTAAAGTTCATGCAAAATATTTATTAGTGTCATGTAATCTCGTTTCCGTTATCAAATTATGATAACCGCCCTGGTCTTTCCTTTTTTTAAATAACGCTCCCACAGCACAAGATTTTTTCTGATTTTTTTTGGTGTTCCTTATAAAATACCAAGCTATTAACAATCTTCTACGCAATTGGCAATAAATAACATAATGATAATCACTGTTATTCATCACATTCATCGTTGCAGAATGTTTATTTATGAATGTCTTGTCTAATGTCCTGCATGTGTAATCACAAAAATAAAAACTTGACTGTGGCGTGTAACATGGTCTAGCTAGGCAAGTAACACACGAAATTTAAAATTAACTAGTTTTCGCGTATGTGCATGAACGAATATTAATTTNTCTAGTTATTTAAACTATTACCACAACGCGTTACAATAAAACATTTATTATTATTAACTATTACCATCACTTGGTCATACATAACTCAATAAGTTGTTGCGTCAAAATTAAAACATTATTACAATTTTAATTTTATTATGACAAATTAATTCTTAAAAATGCATATGAACAACCAAAACGCCAACTGAACATTATTCTTTAAAAAATTTCAGTAAATGTTCAAAAACATTTTCGTTTTGGCAAAGGTTGAAAATGAAGATCAGCGTAATATTATCGGAATTTATTATATCTATAACCACAACTGTGAAAGAGCATGTCAGATGTATTTGTATGAATATCCTGAAAAAAATAGATCAGAATTTGTTTGAATTTTGACCATTCGAGAAGCCTAGAAATAACTATGAACACGGGAATAAAACTCTAATAATTTTTTATTTTAACGCGTGGTGGTAATACAGGGGTCGGCATAAGTCAGGCAACGCTCTCGAAAAATCGGCATCCATGCTGGAGGTCTCGTGGGTCCGTACTTTTTTGAGGGTCACGTGACGGGCCAAAGTTATCTGGAAATGCTCGAAGATTTACGTGGACAAATGGACAACGATCCAACACTCGCGAACATCCGTCATTTCATGCAGGATGGAGCTTCGCCGCACTACGCGCTATGTGTGTGGGAGTACCTTAATGTTCATTTTGGAGAATAGATAGGCAGACCAACTCGTTGAGTGGCCCGCACTGTCATGTGACCTGACACCCTGTGATTTTTTCCTGTGGGGCCTTCTCAAGGACCGCGTTTTCGCAAGAGGACCACGCACCCTTCCCGATCTCTGAACTGCAATTGAAGAATTTGAAACTCTTCGCGGACAGCTTGACATGCTTCGCCGGACCTGCCTCTCCGTTGAGAAACGTTCCCACACATGCAATGATCAAGATGGGCATCAATTTGAACACTTACAGTAACCCTTTTTCGAATTCCTTTTGTAATTTCTTTTAGTAAATATATTTTGAGGCTGCATTTTTTTCTCTTAATGCAAATTGGTTGCCTGACTTACGCCGACCCCTGTAGTTTAAATAACTACATGGATTTCACACGGTCTAACGACACTTACACTGTACAATAATTCAGTAAACAAAGAGATTTAAATAAAAAATTTAGATAAATTTGGAACACTGGAGATGAATTTTTCGAGACAAAACGTCTGAATCTGTTTCATGCTGAGGCAGTACAGTATTGGGGGTCATGAAGGCTTGCAAAATAAATTGTAATAAAAATTGTAAATTGTAATAAATTGTAAATTGTAACTAATAATTGTAAATTGTAAATTGTAATAAAATTTACAGGGTCGTATTTAAAAAAATGAAGTTGATGATGGTCCTGGAGAGACAAAACGTTACATATAAAAATTGATTATGCCATTCGATAGAAGGCAAAAAGTAGCCACGAGAATGTGTTCTTCTTTTTTCAATATCACCTCAAACAAGGTTGAAATGAAACAAAAACGGATTTCCAAAATTAAGCTTTTTTTCAAATATTTCGAAAACTAATCATGTTAGCTTTGATTTTTTAGAGGCATAATGTTGGTCCCCTGATTACGCAACTTTGCCCCCGTTTAAGCTAGTTTGTATCTCTTACCGTCTTCGAGATCCCAGTAGTGAAAAGCGAATTTGTAACAGCCTGTATATGGTGTAATAGTCTTTAAAAAAGTAAATTCAAACAAAAATCTTCCTATCTGACACCGACTCTTCTCACCGGCCTGCGTTGATTCATACTGAACTGTTTATTAAAAAAATGTAAACATTCCTCAAATGGTAAGACCACGCTGTCGGATTCGCAACTAAGCAACGTTCTTTGCTTCGCAGTCGTGAGTTTACAAAATGAGCTTCGGCGATCTAAAGCCGAGTGGAGCCTGCACGGGCTATTTGAAACCTTGGTTCTCCGCGAATGTAAACAGAAAATTTAAAATGTTCAAATCAAGTTTTGTCGCCAAAGTTGCGTCTCTAAAAGATCGGAACTGATGCCTAACGGTAATGTAACGACTCACCGTGGCCCGATTGTCCAGGAAAATGCGTCAAATGACAAAAAATTTATTTTGAAGTCTTCACTGACGTTTGTCTCCATCTCTGTTTAAATATCGGATATACTTTGGGTATCTCGCTCCACCGAAAAGAATTTAATTTTCGGCAAGGACTCTTTTTAAAGTGGAAATTTCACTTAGAAGGCGCTAACAGATCGCCTTCAAAATATGACGTTGGTATAAAGGAAGAACCGAGGGTCCCTTCGGGCATAACGGCAATATAACGACTCACAGTGACCCGATTGTCCGGGAAAACGCGTCAAGTGACAAAATTTAGTTTGACGTCTTCACTGACGTTTGTCTCTGTTTAAATATCGGATATACTTCAGGTATTTCTCTCCCACCGAATAAAATCAATTTTCAGCAAGGACTCTTTTTAAAGTGGAAATTTAACATATTTGCTATTATTTTTCTGTTTACTTTGTTATAATAAAAAATGTAATGAGTTATAATATCTCCACTTTTTTAAATTATACATTTTTACAGTTGGCGATAAAATTTCGTATGCACCATGTCAGTAAAGTGAATTTATCGAACTCGCCTCTCTTGGTACATAAATATCAGCTGAATTTATGTTGTTGAAAAATTAACTCTGTTTTTTTTTGACAAATTAGTAAGCGTTATTATTTTTTAGTTACATTTCACGATCGAAGCTTAACCTCAGGTAATAATATTGATAAGCAACAAGAAATTTTCTTACATGTCCCGATTATTGATAAATCCCGGTTTTCCAAATTGATATATGTCCTGAAAATCAACCGCATAATAATAATTACCTTTGTCATATCTGTTATACGACAACATAATATCCTCGATGCCGGGCCACGGCAATCCGTTCGCTTCCGCGTTACGATCCCTTCCCGGCGTGTCCCTCCAGTAAGCTTTCGTGTCGTTCGGAAAGTTAACCACCTTGCAGTTTTGGTTCTCCACAAGGACCAGAGGCACGTAATTATANCGCATTTCAAATTCTGCATTAAGCACATTGCGATACTTTTTTTTTGTCACTACGTACGTGGAAAATGATATTTTGCACAGGTACGTAGTTGCAAAATGCATTAATACATTTATTGACTGATCAGCAATTGCATAAAAAATAGATAAAGGTCATATAGTAACTTATACGCGTGTACTTATAAAAATAAAAAGTTTACTTATAACAATAAATAAAATTTATCGACAACTGTCAATTGCCTCGTTATAAAACTACCCGTTTTACACTGAGCATGCGGTTCGGTTTTTTAAATAAAGGCCCAAGCTTCAGAATAAACCTTTATTCCATAAAAGGCCGCAATAAGTTATTAGCCGATTAGGTACACGTTTTTTTAATGCATATATGGTGTAACAGAGTCTTTAAAAAAGTATGATTGATTCATACTGAACTGTTTATAGAAAAAATGTAAACATTCCTCAAATGGTAAGACCTCGCCGAGTCGGATTCGCAATTAACCAATGTTCTTTAATATACAGTACTAGAACAGTAGGCAAGTCCGTTGACGCGGACCTGACCTTTGGGTTAGTAAATAATATAACATTTTCCAAAAAAATAAAGAAAAAATGCGACCCGCCTGCGATTGGAACCCCGGACCTTCGGCTTCGAAGTCATGAGTTTATAAAATGAGCTACGGCGATCTAACGCTAAGTGGAGCCTGCACGGCTTTTTGAAACCTTGGTTCTCCACGAATATAAACAGAAAATTGAAAATGTTCAAATCAAGTTGCGTCTCTAAAAGATCGAAACCGGTGCCTAACGCCAATATAAAGACTCACCGTGGTCCGATAGTCCCGGAAAACGCGTCAAATGACAAAATTTCTTTTGACGTCTTCACTGGCGCTTGTCTCCATCTCTGTTTAAATATCGGATATACTTCGGGTATCTCTCTCCCATCGAAAAAAGTCAATTTTCGGAGAGGACTCTTTTTAAAGTGGAAATTTCACATAGAAAAGGCATGAACAGATTGCCTTTAAAATACGACGTTGGGATAAAAGAAGGACCAAGGGGCCCTTCGGGCCTAACGGCAATATAACAACTCACAGTGGCCCGATCGTCCGGGAAAACGCGTCAAATGACAAAATTTACTTTGACGTCTCCACTGATGTTTGTCTCCATCTCTGTTTAAATATCGGATATACTTCGGGTATTTCTCTCCCACGGAATAAAATCATTTTTCGGCGAGGACTCTTTTTAAAATGGAAATTTAACATATTTGCTATTATTTTTCTGTTTACTTTGTTATAATAAAAAATGTAATGAGTTATATTATCTCCATTTTTTTTTAATTATACATTTTTACAGTTGGTGATAAAATTTCGTATGCACCAAGTCAGTAAAGTGCCTTTATCGAACTCGCCTGTCTTGGTACATAAATATCAGTTGAATTTATGTTATTGAAAAATAAATTCTGTTTTTTTTTTGACAAATTAGTAAGCGTTATTATTTTTTAGTTACATTTCACGATCGAAGCTTAACCTCAGGTAATAATATTGATAAGCAACAAGAAATTTTCTTACATGTCCCGATTATTGATAAATCCCGGTTTTCCAAATTGATATATGTCCTGAAAATCAACCGCATAATAATAATTACCTTTGTCATATCTGTTATACGACAACATAATATCCTCGATGCCGGGCCACGGCAATCCGTTCGCTTCCGCGTTACGATCCCTTCCCGGCGTGTCCCTCCAGTAAGCTTTCGTGTCGTTCGGAAAGTTAACCACCTTGCAGTTTTGGTTCTCCACAAGGACCAGAGGCACGTAATTATATTCAAAGTTCCTTTTTAACGATAAACTATTGCAGTCTTCATGGTTAGCAACGGGTAGTATGACATTGCGTTCGTGGTACTGATGCACTATGGGGATTTTGAATGACATTGACATGTCGAGGCTGCCATTATTACTATTGTCCGCTAGGTCGTTTTTACTCTCGTTTTCATTTGGGGTCTTGTACACTTTTAGGCTGTATTTGGTGAGAGAAGATTCGCAGTTCCGTCGCAGGCGCTCCTCCACGATTTTCATCCAGTTTTTTTCCATCTCTGAAACGTCAAAAACGCACATCGATTTAATACAAAAATGATAACGTCCCACCTTTTACTTAATTTTAATTAAATGTAGTGAAATGATTTTTGTAGAAATTGTTTTTTTGTTCCCTTTTTTTAGTTAAAAATAAAAATAACTACTTATATATCTTAAAACGGGTACATACATTTTAAAACAATTGTATATATGTACTTTACTATATAATTAATATTTATTATTTGTGGTCAACTGTAGTCTCTAGCGTCATCGTAATCCGATTTTACAGTCGTCGTTGCCATAGTGTTTACAATAGTTTTTTAGTAGTTAGTGTCAAAAATGTCTTGCTTGTTCGGAGTTGATGGATATCATTTTAATTTATGGTGAAGCAAGAAAGCATTTGTATTATGTTGAAACAAGACAGCATTTGTGTTAGTTCGTAAAAACTGAATAAGATGAATCCAAATGTGTTTGCAAGTCAATTGACAACATTTTTAACAGTAGTTGTAACAATCAATTTTATTAATTAATAATAACAATAGGTGCTATAAAATTCTATTTACTCATTTCCTTGTGAAATTCTTTTAAATCATTTTTGAACGTCCCTTATTGATTTTTTCTTTACAAAATTGTACCCAGTACATCCAGAATTTTTTTTGGATACGTTCTAAATCACCCTGTATATTATGGTTTTATATATAACTGTCCAAAATTGTTACATATATCGACTAAGAAAACAAACTTAAATCTCAGTTTTTCATTGTCCTGAAGATGTTACAATATAAAGGTGACGAAACATCTATGAAGAAAAAATTACTGTGTTTTCTTTAAGTTTTGGCCTTAATTCTCACCATTGACTACCAACAATCTATATATAAAAGTTAAGGCTACTAGCTACTAGTATTTGCCATTTCCTACCTGTGTCAGTTGTTTTATTTTTTTAAGAACACAATATTTACGGAGACAGCATTTCTGCTTTGCTAAAAAATTTAAAAAAGAAGAGCTTTTGAGACAAATGACCTTCACAGTACTAAAGACAATAGTTCGACTTATCGTCAGTAAAAATTTGGAATTTTTTATTAATTAACAAAAAAATTACGACTAGTTAAACTGAGAGATATCAACTTTGTAGGCAGAAAACCATGATTTTTTCAACATTTTCATTAATAACTAAAAAATGGGGTAACGGAACTAACTGGAACTTTAGCACACAATAGAATAATAGTGAGGTTATATACAGTATGTTCAGATAAGGATGGGATAGCATTCGGATCTAGCAAACGGTACGAGATTCGGGGTGGCTCAAATTAGAAAGTTTAGAAAGTTTTAAAAAGATTACAAAACTAATATCATCTAATTCAGAATTAAAAATTACTACATTTTGTCGTAAAAATAACAGCGACGTATTTAAAAAAATGGACCTGATGGTGGCCCCTCGGAAGACGAAACGTTGGATGGCAAAAATATTGACGCCATTGGATAGAGCGAAAAGAATGGCAATGTAAATATGCAATTTATTTTAAAATTCGTTTTCAAATAAAGCCAGAAAAAAACTGAAACGACTGCAAAATTTCGGGAACCACCTGAAATTTTAAAACTTTCTAAACGGCATATACTTAATATTCGCTACCAGTCAGGGGTCTATTTAATTTATTTCAACAGTGTAGTAGTAGTATATTATAACTTTAACTAACACCAATCAATTTTTTAATCATTTAAGGTTCTTTTTATGTGAAGGAAAAATTTTTTTTAATATTGCTGTATATTTTAGTTTGATTTGGCTCTTAAAAACTAGTTACTAATTTTAAAACTGAAATGTGTCATACTGCATTACAGTTCGATTTAACCTGAAGTTGAGACTAAATGTTTGAATTATTCCCAATAATTTTGTTGACACATGACTTGGCAAACTCACAATGTCTTGGTGTACATGCACAAATGATTGCCTTCCATGTGAACACTGGTTCTTAAAACATATATGTGGTTGGAGAGATTGGAAAATATATGTACCCATGTAATTGTACCCGTGATATTACAACAAACCTTGTCTAGCATCGGCACCGACGTTCTTCAGTCCCAGCAGTCTTAGGAAAAGTTTCTTCGACTTAAAATCTGGTACCATGTTCAGAACAGAAGGTGATTTGGAAGGCACGGGTAAGTTTAAAGGTAAAATTTTTTCGTCTTCTTTCTCGTGAAGTAGTCCGGGGGTTAGCCATTTCCTTCTCTCTAGCTTTTGCACTTCTATGGCTGCAAAACGTTTTTAGTTCTTAACAACTTTATCAGACAAATGAAATTTAATGTTTGTGCTGTAATGCTTACAATTATGTTATACTTACAATTTTTCAGACCGTGTGTGGTGAGCTCGAACAAATTCAAGAACTTAATTTTGTCGGAACTGAAATCCGGTTTGCTGGGTGGCCCAGACGTAATCCAAAGGTCCAATTCCTTGTCATCGCTCTCGCCGTCTGAGCTGGAAAAGGCGCTGCTGCTGCTGGAACTGTCGGAGTATCCTACGACGGTCACTCCGAAATCCGTGGTGACCTTGCTGTCCTGCGTCGTCTTCTTCTTGTGTCGGATCCGAGGAGCTCGCTTGTCCCTCCGAATCTTCTGCCTTATCGTTGCTATATCGATCTTGCTCAACTTCTGCCGTTTCACGGGAGGCCCGTGGAACGGTATGTTGGGCACATTAAGTACGGTAAAACTGCTCTCTGTCAATTTATTATTAGCCACCATCCTGCCTATGGTGGATTTCCTACTCCTCTTATTTTTATTCGGGTTTATTTTTAAACACTTACTTTTTACAAGATCAGGTTTAGTGTTCACCTTAACATTACATTCACTAAAGTTAGAATTGGTTAAACGTTCGTTACTTTTTACACTATTTTTATTTACAGGTTCACCTAAAGAGTCTATGGAATGTGTTTGGCTGTCTGTTTGTTTGTTTAAATCGTTATGACTAGCTGACTGAGGTGCGGTTATATAGTTATTATTTATCGTAGGAACAATAGTATTCGGTAAGTTGACTGTTTTGCGGCAACTACTGGTCTCCGGCACAGACTGGCTCTGCACGGGGTAGTTCGGGGACGGTATTGGTAACTGAGGACTGTGTGTCTGCAGACTCGGAACGTTGTTTATGGGCGTTAGCGCGTGTTTAACTTCTGAACTCTTGTCGGCGAATGTGTATACGTCGCTGGAACTTCTAGTCTCACGTTCCATCTTTGCGGTAAAATCGTTTCCGTTTCCTTGATCTTGCGTCCAGTCGACGGGAGTTTGGTTTTCCCCGATTTTAACGTCGGAACGATCGATTTTCTCTTGGTCTAATTCTAACGGACGCATCACTTCTTGACCGCTCGATTTCTCTTGAGGCACCCTTTCATCCTCGTCATTCCCGGTTGGTACGTCGGATTTGTCTTTCAGTTCGTCCGTACCGAGCAGATCTCGCACAATATATTCAATATAGTAGGGAGTTAGTTTGTTTGACTTGGCGCTATCGTGTTCTTTAAGTGTGTCACTGTGTTTACCGGGAATGTCACAAGCCGTAGTACTTTTGGGTGTATCAGAAGTTTTAGTTGCAGTTTGGCTTTGACATACTGTATTGGGTGCTATGGTAGACTTCCTGGCTGAAACAAAGACAACACAAATATGCCATTACAACGTTTGGAGCCGGGCCATTACTTCAAACACCGCACTGTCGGAATACGGGTAAAATTGATCGGTTCGGCATTTGATGTAAACGGCAAATTTCCATTAAAACAATATAAAAGACTGAATAAATATTACAAAATTTACACTTTTGCTAGTAAAATGCAAGCAAAGTTACATCTATTTTGCCGTTTGAGAGAGTTATATGAAGAGCGATAGTATTTAATTTTTTTTTTTATATTTACATACAGGGTGTTTTCATAATTTGAGGCAGAAAATTAAGGAATGTGTACAGGGTCACATTTTGGTTAAAAAATATAAAATAAAATTTTTGACACCCTGTACACACAGTACCACAGTAGACTACTAAAATATGTCCTATATTTAAAAACACAAAGCTCTGTTCCTTAAATTTCTGAAAAATATAAAAAATTTTTTTTCTATTTTTGAAAAATGTTTAAGTAGGATGAGCAATTTAAAAAATAAATTGTTAAGTAAACAAATATAGAGGACAATCACTTTGGTTCTCTTTATAATTAACCGTCTCAAGTGTATACGTATAGGGTGGGCCAAATTTAACATTTTTATGGGGTTTCTTGTTCTCCGAAAAGACAGAAAAAAAGTAGTTTAGACATAACATGGCATTGTTTTCTATAGTAGCCCATCAAATTGTCGAAAATACCTCAGTTTTTGCCAAAATTTAGTTTAGTAAACAAAGATACGTAAAAATTAGGAGAAATTCAGTAGAATTAAATGAACTACTTTAACCCAGCTGAATGTTAGGGTTTCATTTTCAAAATGGCGCCCAAAGTTCTCAAAAAGTTTTTTTCATTTAAAAAAAAACTGAACATTTTAGAAAAAAATGTTTTAGACAAAAGTTGATTTTGATCCCAGCCTGATGTCAATTCATAAACAAATGTATCAGTTATTTCAAAAAAACTACTAAAAATCACAATTTTTTTAAAACTTCTATATCTTTAAAACGAAAAAAGATTTTTTTACGAAACTTTCAGAATATGTAGTTTTTGGCAAGTAGAATAAGTGCATTTATGTAAAATTGCAAAATATTAGCGTTTTTGCAAAAATTGAGTTTTTCAAAAAAAAAATAAATTTTTTCACGTTTCAATAAATTATACAGTAATGCACTTATGTCACCCATCTTGGGCTTAAAATTTTCTCTAAGAGTGTACTTTCTTGTGCAAATTGTGCACGTAATGCAAAATAATCGGATATATGCGAAAAATCTACCGAAACTTTGACTTCTTCTTTCGAGTCGCAAAATGTAGCTTTTTCTTATCGTTAAAATTTTATCGGATTGGCATTATTGCCATTTGAAAGCTAACATTCTTTCATGAATTTAAAAAAAAATTATGTCCTATGACCAACAGAAGTCGAGAAATTTTTTAAAATTGCCATGACCTCATTTATTAATATTAATTGAAATTTAAACATGTTGTAGTTGAATACTTTTACTTCAATATAAAAAACAGTCTGCAATAATTGACCCCCCTTTTTTTTACAGTAAACTTAATTTTGTTGTGCCCCGTAAAATGCTTACCCCGATCGACACGTTGATGCGCATAGTGGAGGGAGAAACATTGCGACTCAGATGAGTTCATTATGTAGGATCGACAAATACAACAGTCAACATCTGAAGAACCGAAAAATACTGAGTACGCCTTCAAGAAACAGTTTAATAACAAAATAATTTTTGGCCTTCGTTCCTTGAAAGAAATTTTACATAGATTTCGGAAATCAACATATAATATAGTATTTCAATTAAAGAAATATAAATTTGTATTACAACTGAAGAACTGGAAGTTATAGAAAAATAACGCGGACACCATCAAGAAACAGTTGAATAACAAAATAATTTTTAATGCTCATTCCTTGAAAGCAATTCCACGTAGATTTTAAAAATTGAAAAATGTTTAAGGTATTTGCTTTAAAATAATGTAAATTTGGATTACAACTAAAGTTATAGAAAAATATCAGGAATGCCACTGAATTCTAAGTAAAAAGTTCATAAACAATGGCATTGGATGTTTCCGCAAACAAAAAAGTTTTAAGTCTCTGAAATGAAAGAAGATATCAAGATGTGGTTTTCACCATCTAATTTTTCTCGAAAGTCGAACCTGTGACATCGAAACTATCCTTTTCTCTCTTTTTGGGAAATAGAAAAAGTGTCGTATTTGGCCCACCCTATGCACACTAGGTTTAATGCAGAAGTCAGAATCATTCATAGAATAAATGTAAAACAGAATACAACAAAAGTGATATCTAAAACAGGTCTTGATAGGCTTGACCCTGACTTTCACTTTTTGGTACGGACGTAACTGTATTACAGAGATCTGTTCGACAATAACGTCTCTGCATTAACAATAATTAATTATTATAATTGTTAATGTACGCTTGCTAACCTTGAACGAAAGAAAAAAGCCACTCCACACTACACTTTCAGAGGATACGACAAGCACTCGCAATTTGACAAGAAGCGTTAAGCATGATTTTTTTTTTAAATTTATGCTATTATGAAGAAGATTAATCACGGCATTTTTAATAGAGATACGGCATAAGTTTTGGCATGTTTAATACTGTTAGTTAAGTTTCACTGATTACTTAGTCACAAAATATCTTAAATTATCGACTGCTATTGTAATTTTAAAAAAAAAACAAGGTGTCCCACCACGAACTCCATCGTTGGATAACTGGGAAACCGCTAGGATTTTTTTTGAAATTGTCATGGTGCGATACGGACCGTGGGGTCTACCAAGCTAAAATATTTTCAAGGTCATCGTACTTCCGGTAATACCGGAAGTCGATACCAACTTCTTATTTTAAATGGAACCCCATGTATATTATTGCATTTTTGAAAAGAGCATCTATTTTTAAGTTGAAAACATATAGCACACTCCATACTTAGGATGGACCGTTTCCAAGATATTTTGATTTTTAAGCAAAAATTGACAGGTGTCAGCAAAATTTAGTTTTCCCGGAAACAAAGATTTATTTTTTTGTGCAAATTGCACACACATTTTCACAGAGGAAGACCTAATTTGTCGAATTTGACATGAAAATTGTCCAGTTTTTATACAGGGTGGTCAAAAAAATATATCGAATATGAAGTTCAGAAATTGTCACGGCCAACCTAAAATGTGCGAAACAAATGGGAAACATCATTTTAAGAAAAGGAAAATGAAAACCACTGGGTTTAGGTATAGGGAAACTTTAACAAGGTTACACTTAATTTTAGTGCAGAATACGAATACGTTAAAAAAATAGGGGTTTCCATTTAAAATTTTCGAGTTTTCCACATTTTCTGAACTTCGTACTCGGTAATTTTTTTTTGACCACCCTGTATAACAAATGGAAAATTTTCATGTCAAATTCTATAAATTAGGTCTTCCTCTACAAAATGTCCAATTTGCATAAAATAAATAAATCTACGTTTCCGGAAAAACTAGTTTCCATTTAAAAATTTCGAGTTTTCCACATTTCCTGAACTTCGTATTCGGTATTTTTTTTGACCACCCTGTATAACAAATGGAAAATGTTCATGTCAAATTCTATAAATTAGGTCTTCCTCTACAAAATGTCCAATTTGCGCAAAAAAATAAACCTACATTTCCGGGAAAACTAAATTTTGCTGACAGTCTGCTTAAAAATCAAAATATCTCGGAAACGGTCACTCCTAAGTATGGAATGTGCTATATGTTTTCAACTTAAAAATAGATGCTCTTCCGGTATAACCGGAAGTACGATGACCTTGAAAATATTTTAGTTTGGTAGGCCCCACGGTCCGTATCACACCATCACAATTTCAAAAAAACCTTCTAGCGGTTTCCCAGATATCCATCGCTGGAGTTCGTGGTGGGACACCCTGTATAGTTAAGAAAGATGTCTGAAATGTCAGTTCTTCAAGAACTTGGGCAATCGCAATAAATAATTTTGATTTTACGGTTATACCAATATTCTGTGTATATGGAACTACCAGAAGCGATATAGAACAATTTAATTAAATTTCCATCGGTCCAAAGTTGTGTCATTTAGCCACTAGAGAAAATCAGTTGTCAAAAAATTTTGTGATGTCATAAAGATACCCTCTTGCGGTTTCTTATTTGGTCTTTCCGTTTTCCTGTAACGACAGAAAATCATCAGTTTTGAGTCACCCTATACAAGTACTAGTATACCAAAACCATAGTCTTTTGGAATTATTTGGAAAACAATTATTTTTGTTAACTTTGGCCATCTCTAGCGCCTAAATGAAGAAACTTTAGACAGAAATAAGTTCAGTTATTTCGGACCCAAGAATCAGCGGCAGTTCCATGTACAACTGAATAAAATTGGATCATGCACGCTTCGCATTTTCACCAAAAAGCAACGAAACGACAACGAAATCGCATGCAGATAGTAACAACCCGAACAAAAACCACATTTATTACCGAAAAATAAGGAATCTTGGGGATAATGACAAACGACAAGCATGGCAGAAGGTCAGGCGGTTTCTCCGTTGTCGCGAATCCCCTCACCTGCGCTCGTAGCCGTCGTCTGTCCTTCTTCGGGAACTTTCACGCTCGTCTGAATGGCAGCGCCACCTGCATTGTCGCAAGTCGAGGAAGGTGTACTCGTGACGGGACTTTTAGGGTTTGTCTGTTGTTTTGGGGTGGGAGGTTTGGGGGTGGGAGGCTTGGGCGAAGACCTCGTGACGACGCTCTGACTAGATACGGGAGGGGCGAGGTTCATGTTGCTGATAAGGGGCCCGGACGGCTGGATCACCGGGCTCTGGCGTTGGCTGAGATTCAAGGAATAATTTGAACTCGGGTGGACGTTGGGGGAGTGTCTCTGCAAGGAGGGGCTCGACCTGGGTATCGGGTAATTCTGAGAGCCGGGTGTTAAGAAGGCGGAATTCAGGGGAGACTGTCGCATTGCGGGGGCTAGGGAAATGGGTGTCGGAGGTAGCATGCCGCTCGGGTGTAGTACGGGTAACATGAGGGAGGGCTGCGACGTCATGTGGGGCGAGGTGAGGTGTGGCGAGATGCGAGACTGGGCTTTCTCTCTTTCTCTTTGAGAACGCTCTTTCTCTCTGTGCTCCCGCTCGCGTTGGTGTTGCAAGTCGCGTTCCAGAAGCTCGTGCTCGTCTTTCCGAGCCGCGGCTAGGCGCCGGTGTTCTTCTTCCAGTTTTAGTCTGTAAATGTAACCTTATATAGAAAATTCATACAGATAGATGGGTAGTGGTTAGTTGCTCTGAATTTTTTGACTTATCGAAAGCAAAAACAAATTTATATATTCAATGTTTTGTTGTTTTATTGCGACATATTCAAGACTCTATAATTTTCGTTTCTTTTTGTTAATTTTAAATTAAAAATCCTAAAGATTTTTTTAGATACCAGGGTATTTTTGATAGTGTAAGAGTCCCGAAGATACTGCAATAAATCAACGAAACTTTGATGACCATAAAAATATTTTTTTTTCCAGATTCACTGACAACCTAAAAGAAATATATTAAGGTAACTATAATTCCGATAACACATTCTATTAATCTATTATTTCAGCAACGGGACCCATTGTAATTATCTTCACAAGTTCTAACGGATAGTTTTACTAAAAAATTATGACAACAAAATTTACCTTTCGTGCATATACAGAGGCATGGCCGACCCTGGTAACATGTAAGGCAAATACGGGTGACTGATAGGCGGCCAAGGGGCCCTCAACAGGCCCAGACGTTCGTAATAAATTTGATCTTCCATCGGAGGTAGAGGGGGGTAGGCACCGTAAGGCGGATAACCTGGTATGTCCATTCCGACCGGCACCAAAGGTATTCTACGGAACGATTTGTGCGTGTCGCAAAACTTACTACCTTTAAATAAAAGAACCGATCGACTTACCTGTCTTCAGGTCTATAAGGCTGAAAACCGGCTCTATTGGGTTCAGTTAGCGAGCTGGTGGGATATCTATCTACGTGATTTGAGGGCAGTCTTGGTTCGAATGAACGAATAGAAGTCGATCCGGCTGTTCCAAATGTAGGCACTTCTGTGCTGGATTTGGACTTCTCTGGTATCGGCACAGATGCTACAAATCGAAAAATAAGCGTTTTAAAGATTTCACATGTGTGCTGTTTTTAAAATACAATGTTTTTTTGGGTTCCTATGCCATGGCTTAGGTACCTGATCGCCGCCAGTTATAGAATTACAATGCACTTCCATAGCTTTAACTAAGCATCTCTGACTCGCTCTTCTTGTTCTTGGGCTAGGCTCTGTGGCGGCAGACCAGCTGTCAGAATCCTCAGACTCGCTTTGAAGTTAATTTCAGCTGGTAGTGGCGACAAGATACATAGGCCACGGTATAACAACCCGAGAAACCTTGATACATTAAACATTGGGCTTTTATCTCGTGGTGTCGATTTCATTAGGAACACGAACGAAATATTCAATACCTGATTCTCTCCGATGTGACTCCGAGGCCGGTTGGCTCGTCGAAGAGTTTTCGCTTGTACCAGGAATAGTCTGTTGAGCTAAGTTACGTAGTGCCGCAGCGAAAGAGTGGGAATACTGGTTGGGATTGCCGGGTCCGGGGCCTGGTACCGCGTGGCCCGTCGACGCCCTAGGTTTTGTACTCCCGTTAGTAGAGGTGGAGTGTTTTGGACTGTTAGCAACAGCTGGAAAGTTCAAAGTTCTATAATGTCCATATAGGGACGCAATCGGTATAGGAACGGGATCAGAATAGACACAATCAGCAATCTAATAAATATAAATGTTCTACGAAAGGGTATGAATAAAAAAGAAAAAACGGTTAATTAAAAAACCTTATTAACGGGGTTTGTATTAACAAAATGTGTAATTACTTCTACAATGAAAGTTAATGCAAATTTTTAAATTTGTATGAATTAGCTTAATAAAATAGGGTAAATAATGACAGCTAATTGATGGCATAAACATTATTGCTTTCAGATATAAGAAAACATTTAAGATACATATTCTAAAAAAAATTATTTTTTCGAACGGCTTGCCGATTATTTGAACAGTAGATTTCAAATAATTCAATAGGGGACAGAGTTGTCAGATGAACTTTTTAAAGATATTAATTGGTGTATGCCAAGGTACTTTGGGTCCAATTTTGTTTATTATGTGTCTAAATGACATCAGTTATATCAAAGGATTTGATTTTTTTTTAAATTGTTTGCTGCTGTTTATTACTTGTTATGGCGATGGCGATGATTTAGACGAAAGTATTATATGGTCAAATGCAGTACGAAAATATGTAGAAAAACACCTTAAAATAGAACAGATTTAAACTAAACGTAAACAAAAAGATTTAGGCTGAAAAATGTTGACTACAATTCGTCATTTAATTCATTTGTACATTTAACCAATTGTTCAATATTTGTTTTTGCATTTTAAGTTATTACTGATAATTTTATACGACACAACACAAGCGTTTAATTATTTAGTTGCTGCTCTTGTACACATTTTAATCTACTTTTATATTCTACATTATCCCTGTTAATGCTATTATCTAATCTTGTTTGTGCAAACACAATAAATTCAAAAACAAATAAAAGCATCAAATTTCAACAATTTAATTTGTCTCGAAAATCAAGTTCAAGAACATGCCATCAGTTTTTCTTCTATCTATAATAGATTCCAAGTTCCATTGAATTTGATTCACTCGATACAGTTTTTTTACCAAATATTCTAAATCACTTTTGACTGATTCAATTATAACTTAGATATCGTCCATATGAAGTGGATTTTGTAAAACTACTAGTTAAATTCTGACAAAACAATGTTTTATAATATAATAAAATTATGGTTGGGAAAAAAATTAAGTTATCTTCCACTTTTTACGATTACTACAATTGCGGACATATGTTTATAAATGTATTTTTTCCTCCTGTGCAAATACAGAATCTGTGGGCTTAACAAAAACCCAACTATAAGATAAAATCACTCAGCCTCTGCTATAGACGGGCTAGAACGGGACGATCGTTGGTTTCCTGAACTTGATATTTTTCCTGGTCACTTTTTGTCTTTACTTATTTTTGTAAGTAATAAGCATGTGGTGTAAATTTAAAAATAAATTACAATAGTGCATATTTTTACCTGTCAACGTTTCATCACTCTATTTATTGTGATATCTTCAGGACAACTAAGAAACTGACGTTTACAGCAGTTTTCAGAGGTTTACTCTGATATCCATATGTAAATCAGGTATATTTTCATAGATATACTTTTTTTAAACGGTCTTTGTAAAACTACTTATTAAACTCTGATAACAAACTGTCTAATCCTCAATAACATGGGAACAAAATCATTATTTTGATGACTTAAGTATTTTAATGTAAATTATATAATATTTTAATAAAATTGGGATAAGAGAAAAAAATTAAGCTATATCCTTACTGTTTTTAATCAATTACGAATTTCTAATGCACCAAAAAGAAAAAGTCTTAAATAAATAACCTTGTTCCAAAACAAATCATGGGGTTGGTTTTATAGATTTAGTTTTGCCTTAACCAGGAACAGATCACACTGAGAAAGTAGATCATTCTTCTTGAGTACACAGTAATTTTTGGTTAGTCATAACTAAATTTATAAAACCGACCCCACGGCAGATCCTTTTGGCACAAAAAAAAATTGTTGGTGTAACAGAAAAACCCAATTAAACAAAAAATATTAACAAAAATGTCACAAATAAATAATTACAGGCAATAAGTTATATCCTTTTCTAAATATAATTTTAATCAATTTTAAATTAACCACATCTTTTATTATAAATCACATACAAGAGGTTATTTCCTGGGCTGTTCTAAGAGTATTTTGTCCTCTGATGATTTTTGAAAAGCCGCTTTGTTCCAAAGATATAAGGCGAGAAAAATTTTCGACAATAACAACATTTTATTACCAAAAAGTACATGTAGAGCTTCTTAATCTACAAGAACTGTTGAAAAAGACTACCTCCAGCTGGGAGGCAAGAATACATCTCCTAATTGACTGCCGAACTCTTTCAAAAACACCACGGTTGTTTCTTATTGAGTTACACCCAGCAATTATCCGATTTCTTAAATCTTCCATATTTTCCACTGGAGTGGTATAAACTAATGACTTTAGAGGCCCCATAGGAAAAAATCCAGAGGATGTAAGTCCAGGGATCGAGCAGGCCATAAGTAAGGTCCACCACAACCAATCCAGCGATCTCCGTATGTTACTGTTAAAAACTTCACCATTGGTAAAAAGAATCAACGTCAGTAGTTGAGGTAGCTGGAGGTAGTCATTTTCAACAGTTCTTGTGGATTCAGAAGCTTTACATGTAATTTTCAGTAATAATATGTTTTAGTGGAAAATTTTTCTTGCCCTGTATCTTCTGAACAAAGCAGCTAGAATAGTCCAGGGAATAACCCCTTGAATTTTTGCCATATGTTTAATAAACACCCTGTATAATAACCAACCGATAACACTGACCTACAAAATTTAACTTTTTTTGGAAGCAGAAGCTTGAATATATATTTCCGATATATGTCGCGTCAGGTTTTTGAGATATCCTAACCTAAAAGTGCAAAAAACACTGTTTTTTGTCTTATTTGAGGTTATGTAGTAATGCCATCTATTCTTTTCCAAAAAATTAATACATTGAATCTAAAAGTACAAGGCTCCCTCATTCGAATGCCGTTGAGTTTGCTCAAATATCTTTTTTTTTTTGTTGGGATATCACATGTTGAAATTTTTAAGTTTCTCAGTTTCTTAAAATGCGAAAATCTACTAAGGATTCCTTAGACATCAAGCAGTCGATTGCAATTCAGAAACTTCATACCCATACGGTCTGTGGGATTGGAGTTGGTGGGTTTGGGGTTTGTAAGCTTGGAGTTTGTAGGTTCGGGTTTTGTGGGATTGGGGTTTGTGGGTTTAGGGATTGTGGATTTGGAGTTTGTGAATTTGAATTCGTATGTATTGAAGGTTTCCGAGTATGAAGTTTCTGAACTACAATCAACTGTTTGACGTCTAAGGGATCCTTAATAGATTTTCGCATATTAAGAAAATGATAAACTTAGAAATTTCAACATGTGATATCTTAACGAAAAAAAAAAAGATATTTGAGCAAACTCAACGGCATTCAAAAAAGGGAGCCTTATACTTTTGAATTAAATATATTTTTTTTTCTTTTAAGGATAGCATTACTACATAACCTCAAATATGACGAAAAACAGTGATTTTTACACTTTTAGGTTAGGATATCTCAAAAACCTGACGTGATAGAGCAATTCTGCGGTCAGATTCGGATTCAGCGTACCAAAATCCTTCGGGAATGCATATTAGTGTGTCTGCTTCTTGACCCTTGTTGACCTGTGTAATTTTATAGTTAAACATTTTAAACCAATGTGTGTGATACACTTTTATTGTAATTTAATGAAAAATAAGTTAAATTCAATATATACAGAAAAAAATATATGTCCACAGGAATACTAATAAGAAACTAACACTGTTATCTTATACCCATCACTCAATAAAACTTGATACTTGATCGCTTGATCCCTCATTCCCGTGTTAATCACGTGTTATCACAGCTATAAACCAAGAAAATTTTATAAAATGAGATGTGCATATTTAAATATTATTTGAATTTAAGTGTGGATATTTTGGCGGCAAAACAGCAAAATTATATTGCAAAAATGGAAAAATTTTCTGAACAATATAAAGGCTTTAATTACAATTTTTATTCAACAACTCGATTATTTTCCCCTTTCAATTTAGGCGACAAAAATCGCGCTCCACGCGGCTCCGTTCATTTTGTTGTTTGTTTGTTACATTTCCGCAATGTTGACAAGCAAAAACCAAAACAAATTGCCGCAAAATGACAACCGCGTTTAAAAAGAGAATTAACCTTACCCCCAGCCGATTCGTTGTAGTAAAGATGCGGGTGTAAACCGGGTATATTCTCATAGGGATACTTATAATCCATCTTCACGGAAACCAACGCGATCCCGACTCGCATTCACACTCACGTAATCCTCCGCCGGGCATGAACCTTGGTAGGTATTTCCGTTTACCTCGAGATTCCACGGATTTAGATAAGATTACGGTTCTAATCGGCGGCGGCGGGTCGAATAGCGGACGCGGATACGTAAAAAAAAGAATTGTGGAAGACGCCGCGCGTCGGCGGCAATATTTTGGGCGTGAGACACCGCAAAAAGGCGTTTATTGACAAGCGCGGACCTACGCTACTCCACACGGCACTTGATTTCCAGCCGTCCGCCGGCGGACGGGGGATGATGGAACGGCCGGGGGCGGAAGTCGCGAGGGGAGGCGGCCATGGGCGGCGCCGGGAAATGTTGCCGTGAGGGGCGTGTTAAATATCAGAAAGTAAAAAATTCTGCTCCTGTTTAAATGTACAAACATGTAGTTTTAAGCGTGGCAACATATACAGGGTGATGATATAATAATTATTTGAAATTATTTTTTAACAATTAATTTCAAGTCTCGTGTCCTGAATTACTGGAAAAAATTGGTTTACATGCGCCTCGAATACCTAAAAGATCAATTAATCCTTTTCATCGGGCAACTCATCGAACAAATGGGTTTAATATACAGGGTGTTTCAGAAAGATCTCCCGTAAATTCAGGGGGTGATAGTATGACAAAAAATAAAAAAATTTTGATACAGAGCGACAAAATAAATTTTTTTTCAAATAAAATATTTCATAGAGGGCGCTAGTTATGCTACATTCAGATTACATTTTAATTTCTAATGTTTTTGAGGTTAGGTTTTTCGGACTTCAGTTTCTAATGTACAAATTTATTTTCTAAAAATAATGTACTCTTGTTAGAACTTCCTAATGTGGATGGTTTTCGAGAAAAAAGGCTTTTAATTGAACTCTTACAATATGACAATGTAGAAAATAAGTGACTTTTTTCAAAGTAAGCTTATGTCAAGACTTATTGATGGATGTCTCATAAATAACGCATACATTTTCAGTAATATTTTAACCTCTAATTAACTTTATATCAAAATTTTAGTGACTGTAATTAGTCATTACTACCTACAGTCACTAACAATCACTAAAATTTTGATATAAAGTTAATTAGAGTTTAAAATATTATTAAAAATGTATGTGTTGTTTATGAGACATCCATCAATAAGTTTTGACATAAGCCTACTTTGAGAAGTCATTTATTTTCTTCGCTGTAATATTGTAAGAGTTCAATTAAAAGCCTTGTTTCTCAAAAACCTTCCACATTAGGAAGTCCTAACAAGAGTACATTATTTTTAGAAAATAAAATTGTACATCAGAAATTGGAGCCCGAATGGTAAAAAACTTGACCTTAAAAAAATTAGAACCTAAAATGTAATAGGAATGTAGCGCAACTAGCGTCTTCTATGAAATATCCAAAAAATAATTAGACCAGTGTATTTGGCGTCCTTAAAAACCCCGGAATACCAAATTTCATAAAAATATTTCGCACCTTTTGGAAATTTTCGTAAAAATTCTATTTAAAAAATTTTATTTTGTCACTCTGTATCTCGAAAACAAGAGGAGATAGACATATAGTTCATAAGACAAATAATTCTCATTTTTTGTTGTACTATCACCGCCTGAATTTACGGAAGGTCTTTCTGAAACATCCTGTATATTAAAATAGCATTAAAATGGACTTTTTTACTGATCAGGCTAAGTTTCTAAAACAGCTACTAGCGATTTAAATTATTGTCTAATACTTTTTTCTCTATTTTATAATGCTTATACTAATGTTTTATGTTATGCACTTTTTCTTTGCACTTCTGATAAGGCCTACTTAATTTTTCAGAAATAAAAATATGTTACAAATTACTTTTTAATCATAGCCAATATTTTTCCAAAATGTAAAAAAGTTACTTTTTTATCGCCTACGCTTAAGATATCTGGGAGTGCTCCGTAAATATTAAATGTCTGTTTAACGGGACCAGATAATCAAATGAATTAATCAATAAGGTTGAAGCATATCTCTTCTTCGTGTGAAAATTCAAACGAACTGTCAATATGTTGTTTGACGTAATAATTGCGTGTTCAAATTTCAAAGCACTCTTTGTGAAAAGGAATAATTTGGTATTTGACAAAAGCAAAGAAGTAATCGAAAAAATGCAATAAAAAATGTGAAAATTCAATAAAGAGCCCATAGGAAAAACAAATGTTGCATACGATAAAAAAATTAAAATTTAAATTAAAATTTTCAGTTCTTCCTCAATAACTTCAAAACGAAAAAAAATTGGAATACGAGTATTTTGCAGACTAGAAAATATCCAAATAACACTTTAAAATTTAATAAACAAAATTTTACCTCGTTTGGACAGTCGAATGAATTTAAAAAATGATAGCCACTAATCAAATTATTGAGACTAGGACGTATTTTTTAGCGATTATAAGAATTATGATTCTATTGATGGATTCTCGATTTTTTTTACAATATTTTTGCCCTTAATTAAAGACAAAATTCATTCTACAAATTTTCCTCGGGACACCACTGGAACCTGTTTACATAATGTGCTACCAAACTCATATTATTTCGCTCTCTCTCTCTCTATCCCTCTAAAATGTGTTAAAATATTTAAAAGGGATCAGAAAGAAAAAGGCGCATGAAATATTGTTACTTTTGAGGGGATGGTTTCTTTCACACACAAAAAATTGTGATTTTTTAAATTTTTTAATTTTTTTTTAACGACGGAGCTTGAATTTGACAAAAATTTGTTAGTAATGTTTTTATTTAAATCTGACTAGACCACTGGATTCTGTTCCCTCTCAATGTAACTTGTGCCAAATTTCGAGCAAAAAAATTATGTTTTGCTCATAATCAAATTAATATTAATTTTTATTTTTTGTGTTCTCCATAAATGGGAATTTTAATGGATGAACCAATTATAATTAAAAACACATCAATAAACATTTTATTTGTTTATTTAATTTATTTATAATTCCATAGGTTACTCACATCTTGTAGGAAGAATGGAAATAAAACTTTTAATTTTAATTAATTTTAAGCAATCAATATATTTTCACTAAATTTGGTACAAACCACAATGAAGAGGTAAAAAATGCAGTGGCAGAGTCGGCTTTTAAATAAAAAAATTGCCAACTAATTTTAGTAAATTCAGACCCCAAAAAATAAAAAGTAGGCTTTGATAAGTGAGAATGAATTCATATGTTATAAGATCTTGTCGAATGATGATTGCAAGTAAACTTAAAATTTTGCATCAATTTTCTATCCAAACATCCAAAAACTACCTCGACGACTGAGAGCAGCGCCAGATTGCCGAGAGCCAACAACGCACCAAAGATCGCTCGTATTCCGAAGCATAAAGAAGCGATCGAACGTCAACTTCGACCACTAAATTTTGTACAAGGATGTTTGCATTTGAAATGGGTCACATTGCATATAACATTCGACAATATATACTGATCAAACAAATAAAAAAATGAATAAATTCCAATTTGTCAGCCTGAAACGTTTTTGAGAGAAAAAGATACAATCTAAACACAAAAAATTGAAACATGTAACAAATATACACGATACTTGAAGAGTTCTAAAATCTAAATTCAAAATCGATATATTATCCTCCACTTACCTGGTCCCGTCTCAGTTTTCGAAGCACCCTTTCTGTCCCCAATCTTAGGTGAGCAATTTTTCCTGTTCGGTTTCGCCAAAAATGTAGGAGGAACCTGAAAAACGACGAACTACTACTACCTTATCACCACTACAACAAAACGAAAAGGATAAAGCTGCGTCGATTATTTTTAGAGTTACGCGAACAACGTACCACTTTGTCGCTCCTCTGTCCGCTCGGCAACCTGGCCACGGTCGCCTCGGGGCTGTCTTCCGGCGGCGGGGGCTGCGTTATCCAGTTGTACTGCCTCTTATCGAGCGGCAATCCCCACCGTTCGTACTCTAAACTCTGCGTTCTAAGCGTCTCGTAACAGTCCAAGCACACCACCGAGTAGTCGCCGTTCTCCAACAGCAACGAGTGCTCAGGCTGGGGGTGAAATCTCAGAAAAGGGAAGTCCTGCAGGAACAGCCGCGTTGAAAAAATTAAATTTTTCGGTAGACTCTCGCTTTACCTTTATGAGAAGCGCCCTCACTCGTTTCCGGTAAGTCGTGATTCCGCACACGTAGCAACGGTAGTCGTGCGTATTGTAGTCCCGTCTGTCGGCAGGCAGCGCCCGTTCTCCCTGAGCTTCGTATCGTCGCCACTGACTCACCAGACTGTGATAGCAAAACGTGCAAACTAAGGCCGATCCGTCCTCCCTCAACTGCTCGGCATTCGGCGGGCTCTTAATGTGCAGTAGGGCCGGGAAATATGGCGCGTTCCTGCCTAAAATAAGTGTTTCTAATTTTTTTAATTCATAGGAGAAAATATACATACGAGTATACAAGAAACTGCCATTATTTTTAGCAAGGTTGGCATGATATATATCAATGATATATATCCGATATATATCATTGATATATATCACGATATTTATTCCTTGATATATATCATGATATTTATAAAAATTTAAATAATGATTCCTACTGGTTTAAAGTTGCTAAAACTACTAACAGATGGTAGCAAAACCATATGCTAATTATTGGCAAACGTGTTTATTTATGTGATTCCCCGAATTTTTCAACAAAGTAAAATTGAATGAATATTTTTATTATTTTATTTCATTATTTCTCCAGGTGTTAGTCAATTCAAGCAGGTGCTGTGTGTTTGTATTTGTTTTAATATTTATGAAATTTATGTTGAAATTATGTAAATTGGTTAGTTTTCGTAGTATGTACCTAATATTCACGCAAATATTTTTTATTAGTTTCAGAATTTATATTTATCTTTTCGTTCTCGTTTTTGATATTTGGAATAAAAATATTTACCTAAATAGTTTCTTAATTTTATTTCGCTAAAATAATATTATACATAAACTAATTAAAAAAAATAAAAAATATTAAGACTTGATATACATATCGGATATATATCAAGATATATATATCCGATATATATCAAGATATATATATCCGATATTTGATATTTATATAAATATCATGATATTTGCCAACTTTGATTTTTAGAAAATCTGCTGTTCTTGAAATTTTAATATTAATATCGCAAGAAAAGTTAAAGCAAATAGTATTTTCGCTTCCGTTAGGCCATACCTTGTGGTTTACTATAAATAACTCTCGCCAAAGTGAACTCCGAATGCAGTGCGCAGAGGAAACAATATATGCTCGTCCCCCCCGTCCCGGGATTGCTATTACTGCACACCGTCCTCTCGCTGTTTGTACTAGGAGGGGTGGGGATGCCCCGGTCCCCGTTCGAAGCAACCTCCGGTATGGGAATATCGTACCTGGAAAGCACACATTACACATGAAATAGAACAAGGCAATTTAACGATACGTCTTTTATATTACAGCGTATGCCCGGCAAATTATTACCATCAGAAGCTAAAGCGTCAGTGTTCTTTGAGTGATGTCCCCAAATTACCTTCGTCTCTCCAAAGGTACCCTATCCGCTTCCAGAGTGTTCCACTGCTGTTCGAGGTGGTTGACGCACTTCGTGCAGCACAGCACCCTGCCGTGGGAATCCATACAGCTGTTCTCGGAGGTGCGGGCCACTTTCGTCAGACACGGGAAGTGCATGGCGTGGGAATTCATGCCCTCCGCGGAGGTACTCACCCATTCCATCTGCGTGCGGGGGTACAGCCCGGCGCAGATGTAGCAGCGGTAACTCTGCGCCCCGGCCTGGCCGTTTACGTCGGGTAGAGGCGACGTCGTTCGGGTTGAAAGGTTCTGGAAAAATGGAACTTAGACATTTGACGGGTTAAGTAGACTTAAAATTTCAAATTGATACATAACAAGTTAATTTGCGACGGGTAAGGGGTGCAGGGAAAATGATTCCATGGGTGTATCATTTTGATGGTTCCAAAAATTGTTAAATATAGAACAACAGACATGTCGATTTTGATAAAAAACTAGATTATCCTTACGAAGTTACTCGCCTTGTAATATTGAAAAGGTAGGTAAGTACTTTTTTGCCTATAAGGGCAGAATTTACTTTACTGCCGCCAACGTAATTTTTTTTTCCTTTTTCTATTGAGATGTAGCCAGCGCTTCCGTTAACCGAACATGTGGCCCCACGAAACGTCTATTTATGTAGTGTTGTAATAGTACGATGAAATAAAATCAGTAAAAGTAGGTACTAAAAGGACAAACAATGAAAAATCGGATGTTGGGAATTTTTCTATTCGTCGACTATGGTAAGGTGCATTATCTATGGCAATCCCTACATCAGGTTCATTGTGAGGAAAAATATATTCAAACTATTTTTGTATCCTCATAGTAATCTCCTGTTCATCATAATTCGAACACAAAAAATCTGGGGGGGGGGCTTTGGGAGCTTTAGTCCCCCCCCAAAGATCTGTAGTGCGATTTTTATCATAGTCGTAGCTGCTGGCGCACGGATGGAGCGGCATCAGTCAAGATTCCTAAAGGGACAGGTTGCCTGACTTTCTACGTCACTGGGTGTGCCGATTGCATCGCGTACTTGATAAATGCATCGCAGTCTGTCATAATTTGTGTTGAGCTGAGAGTCTGTACTTGGTAGTCTGTGATGTACATGTTTTGTAGTTATGCATTTTAGTTTTTCCTATTTTCTGTTGTGATTTTTGAGATATTTTTTGTGATAGTCTGAAAATGTTTAGTTCCTTTTTTTTATGTGATACAAAGTTTTTTTTTATATCTACACTTTTATTTTAAGTTACCAAATATAAAACAATTTATGTATATAATTACAGTGTCCCACCACGAACTCCATCGATAGATATCTGGGAAACCGATCGAAGGATTTTTTTGAAATTGTGACGGTGTGATACAGACCACGAGGCCTATCAAGCTAAAATATTTTCAAGGTCATCGTACTTCCGGTTATACCGCAAGTCGATACTAACTTTCTTATTTTAAATGAAACCCCCTGTATATTATTGCAGTTTTGGCTGTCAGCAAAATTTAGTTTTCCCAGAAACAAAGTTTCACTTAATTTTAGCGCAGAATGCGAATAAAAAAATTAGGGGTTTCCATTTAAAAATTTCGAGTTTTCCACATTTTTTGAACTTCATATTCGATAAAAAAAATTTAGCCACCCCTGTATAAATACTGTAAAATTTTCACGTCAAATTCAACAAATTAGGTCTTCCTCTACAACATGTCCAATTTGCACAAAAAAATAAACCAATGTTTCCGGGGAAACTAATTTTGCTGACAGTCAATTTGTGCTTAAAAATCAAAATATCTCGGAAACGGTCAATCGTAAGTATAGAGTGTGTTTATATGTTTTCAACTTAAAAATAGATGCTCTTTCCAAAAATGCAATAATATACAGGGGATTCCATTTAAAATAAGAAAGTTAGTACATATCCACCTCCGGTATAACCAGAAGTACGCTTGGTAGCCCCCCCCCCCCCCCCCCCNCTTGATACATATCGGATATATATCAAGATATATATATCCGATATATATCAAGATATATATATCCGATATTTGATATTTATATAAATATCATGATATTTGCCAACTTTGATTTTTAGAAAATCTGCTGTTCTTGAAATTTTAATATTAATATCGCAAGAAAAGTTAAAGCAAATAGTATTTTCGCTTCCGTTAGGCCATACCTTGTGGTTTACTATAAATAACTCTCGCCAAAGTGAACTCCGAATGCAGTGCGCAGAGGAAACAATATATGCTCGTCCCCCCCGTCCCGGGATTGCTATTACTGCACACCGTCCTCTCGCTGTTTGTACTAGGAGGGGTGGGGATGCCCCGGTCCCCGTTCGAAGCGACCTCCGGTATAGGAATATCGTACCTGGAAAACACACATTACTCATGAAGTAAAGCAAGGCAATTTAACGATACGTCTTTTATATTACAGCGTATGCCCGGCAAATTATTACCATCAGAAGCTAAAGCGTCAGTGTTCTTTGAGTGATGTCCCCAAATTACCTTCGTCTCTCCAAAGGTACCCTATCCGCTTCCAGAGTGTTCCACTGCTGTTCGAGGTGGTTGACGCACTTCGTGCAGCACAGCACCCTGCCGTGGGAATCCATACAGCTGTTCTCGGAGGTGCGGGCCACTTTCGTCAGACACGGGAAGTGCATGGCGTGGGAATTCATGCCCTCCGCGGAGGTACTCACCCATTCCATCTGCGTGCGGGGGTACAGCCCGGCACAGATGTAGCAGCGGTAACTCTGCGCCCCGGCCTGGCCGTTTACGTCGGGTAGAGGCGACGTCGTTCGGGTTGAAAGGTTCTGGAAAAATGGAACTTAGATATTTGACGGGTCAAGTATACTTAAAATAAAAATTGATACATAACAAGTTAATTTGCGACGGGTAAGGAGTGCAGGAAATATAATTCCATGGGTGTATCATTTTGAGGGTTCCAAAAATTATTAAATAACAACAGATATGTTATTATATTGAAAAGGTAGGTAAGTTCTTTTTTTTTTAATTTACTTTACTGCCGCCAACGTAATATTTTTTCCTTTTTCTATTGAGATGTAGCAAGCGCTTTCGTTAACCGGACATGTGGCCCCCACGAAACGTCTATTTAGTAATAGTGTTGCAATATTACGATGACATAAAATCAGTAAAAGTACTAAAAGGACAATCATCACTGAAAAATCAGATGTGGGGAATTTTTCTATTTGCCGACTATGGTAAGGTGCATTATCTATGGCAATCCCTACACCAGGTTCGTTGTGAGGAAAAATATATTCAAACTATTTTTCAAATACCACTCTGCCTACATCCTCATAGTAATTTCCCGTTCATCACAATTCGAACACATTTCTTATCCAAAAATCTGCTTTCATTTCAGATATGTGTAATCATTAATCGTCGTTCTTTCCCAAGAAGTGCCTTTAATTTCTTAGAAAATCCTTTTTGTCTGTTATTAATATTTAAATCTTGCCAATCTTTGGGGACCATCCACATATGCATATTTTGTCGAGATAAGTCTTCACTTTTGATGTTATTTTTTCTAAATACTCTCTTCGCCATGCTATAATTTCGTTCTATTCTATTAACATACCCTTTGATTTTATTATAAATAATGAAAATTCAAGCCTAGTACACAATAAAATTTCTTGAAACAATCTAGAAAATCGTCTTCTGCGATTACAGTTTGAATTTTCTTTAATGTTGGAAGTTCATCTTCAAAATAAAATCCATGATTCTTCCTACAAATCACTTTTTTAACGTTACTGCCAATTCCAATTTTTTTTGTCGCCTGTTCGTTTTTTTTTACATTTTCACCAACTTTTGTTGCACGATACACTTTTAACAGACACTTTTGTTAAAGAATTGCACAAATTCCCTTATACACACCTGTACATGATTGCATTTTTAACAACTCTTATTGGATTATTGTATGCGGGAGCGCAAATGGCTCCATCTGTCGTGTGGACTCCCAACTGTGCCATTCAAATGGCTACAGTAGGAAGCGACCTGCTATATTGCAGGTACTTGGTTGCACGACTGCCACCCACAGAGGGCGTAACACAATGTTTGAGTTGTCAGTGTTACGAGAAACAACTACTCCGAGAGCTATATGCCCCTACCGGCGTTGAATTATACTCGCAACACCTAGTGCAACAGCTAGGATCGTTTGTCAGTTTACCCACCAGGTACAGACCGGTTTCGGACTGTGGCTTGCAGTCGTGCAACCAAGTACCTGCAATATAGCAGGTTGCTTCCTACTGTAGCCATTTGAATGGCACAGTTGGGAGTCCGCACGACAGATGGAGCCATTTGCGCTCCCGTGTACAATGTATTTCCTTTTCGTGATGATACAACGAAAAACAGCTGGGTTGTTTGTCGGTTGTCGCACCTATGGCACACTGAGGACTAATAAGTCCAAAACCGGTCTGTGCCTGGTGGGTTAAACTGACAAACGACCCTAGCTGTTGCACTAGGTGTTGCGAGTATAATTCAACGCCGGTAGGGGCATATAGCTCTCGGAGTAATTGTTTCTCATAACACTGACAACTCAAATCTTATTCGATTAACTAAAATTTGAAAATAATAAGACGTCTTTCCCATTTGTACGCTTATGACCCCCACCGACACAGGAATTCGATCCATGCCGCCTTAGTTGTCTCTGTTTTTGTACACGAATAGAAATAGGCGCTTATAANCCCCCGTTATGCCACTGACCACATGCCTTCCACATATTATCCATATTTTGTCGAGATAATAAATCTTCACTTTCGATGCTATTTACTCTAAATACTCTCTTCGCCATGCTATAATTTCGTTCTTTTCTATTAACATTGATTTCATTTTAAATAATGAAAATTCGAGCCTAGTACACAATAAAATTTCTTGAGACAATCTAGGAAAATCGTCTTCTGCAATTGCAGTTTGAATTTCCTTTAATGTTGGAAATTCATTTTTAAAATAAAATCCATGATTCTTCCTACAAATCATTTATTTAACGTTACTGCCAATTTCAATTTTTTTTGTCACCTGTTCGGTTTTTTTACATTTTCACCACCTTTTGTTGCACGATGCATTTTTAACGGACACTTCTGTTAAAGAATTGCATTAATTCCCTTATACACTGTACATGATTCCATTTTTAACAACTCTTATTGGATTAACTAAAATTTGAAAATAATAAGGCGTCTTTCCCATTTGTACGCTTATGACCCCCACCGACACAGGAATTGAATCCATGTAGCCCTAGTCATCTCTGTTTTTGTACACGAATATAAATAGGCGCTTATAACAACAGCACATTAAAATTATCTTATAAGACTAAGAAATAGAAAAAAAACTGTTGTTTGATTTATTTGTGACTGTATTGTGGAGTATGACTGTTGGTAACCTTGATAAAATCTAATGTTCTTCAAAACATCATTTATTTATTTTTTATTTATTTAAGACAGCAAGAAGCTTATATTTTTGTAAAGAGGCTACCTTTAGGTCTAAAGAAATCCTATAAATTATACAAAAATATTTAAAATAATTAAGGTCAGTAACTTCTCTCAGTATAACTGGAAATACGAGATTTCTAAAAATATATCCGTTGGTTATTTTACTTTTGTAACCAATCAAATATCATTTTTTGATTAGTTTCGAACCAATCTCATCATAGTACTGACAAAACTAGAGTGTACCGAATTTTTATCACCGGTCACAAATACTATAGATACATCATAAGGGACTATGATTTTCCCAGAAAATTTTTGTTTTGCATTTTTTTAGGCAAAATCATAAGTGTAATCTTTTTTAATTGATTAAACCACAACACAGCTTCTGCTATACCTATTTGATATATTAAAATTCAATTCAATTACCTAATAATAGGTTTTTTTTAAGTTAAAATCACATGGTTTTCCCGCAATAAAAATTCTAATAGACACGGATTTTGTAAGTATAATTGATCGACTTGAAATGTGACATTTGGTTATAACATATTGAGTGAATACGTCTGTGATAAAAAAATTATCTATCCCTAGACAATTAAATTTTGAGATATGACAGTTTGTGAAATATCACAAATTGTAAAACGTAGAATGTAGAAATCATTGACATTCTTCTTAAAATTTCAGAAAGAAAGAAATAAAGATTACACTCCTGAGTTTTACCATGAAAAACAGAAACACACAAAGAAATTAAATGCTTCAAAAATATTTTCACAAAGAAATCATTTTAATACAATTTTTTTATCATTATAATTTTGAAACATATATAAGTTTAGGAAGCATTTACTTACCATGCTATGCATATATCGACTATTTATATTTCTTTCAAGTGTGGAACTTTCTTTATAAAACGAGAAAACAACTCGTTTAAATGAAAATGTGGCTTATTATTTTTCCCCGCTCGCCCTTTTCATAAATTAAACCGGAATAAATCTAGATCACTCCGTATATAAATTATTGGACGTGACTTAAGTCTATCGTCACTCCTTACGTAATGCCGCAACAAAGACCTTTTGTATACCATTATTTATATAAATATTTATAAAATCATATACCTACAATAAACAAGTTTAAGTAAATAAAAATATAATTCGCTCGTGGTATGGCTGCGAAATACTTTTTTTATCTTAGTTCCTCCGAGGGTTATCAGCGCATCCTTTAAGATCAAATGTCACACGAAATGTCTGCAAACACAAAATATTCACACACACCTAGAATGACTTATCTGTAGTCTTTGTGTAATATTCTGAATAAATATAAATAAATTTCTGCAGATGGTTTCCGTTGCGATCAAAACGAATAAAATCTTTAACAGAGGTCTGTCAAGAGGTTTTTTTGCAATAAAATTCTTCATTGTGACTAGAACTTTGAGATGCTTCAAAGCTCTGTAACTTAAATCGAAAAGTAAGATGTAAAAATTGAGGAAAAAAAACAGTTAAAAAACGATTTACATGAACGTTTGGAGTGAATCAAAAAAATTACGTAAGGGTATGGTATCTCGCTTAGATAAGATATTATACAAAGAAGAAACACAGTTTGATAACGGATTAGCCAAGAATCATGCTGTTTATACCCAAAACGTCAAATTACTGGCTTCCTAATCTTTCTTACGATAAAACTCTAATGAAATCATGCCTGTGTCTAGCACTGTTATTGTTTAAACTAAATAAAAATTTGAGCAACAGCGTGTTAATTAAAATTTAATAATCATTACGTCAACTAATTTTATAATTATGACGGTAACCACTTCAGCAGTATTATGACCCAGTAAGAAGTATTTTGGGACTCGCAATTCAAGTGAATTTTTTTATGCATGGACTTCTGAGATTTTTTTTTTCTAAGGAACAGGCTTTTTAATTAAAAATTTAACTTCGTGGCACCAATGGGCGCCATTTAAAACCCAGGATTTTAATTTTTATTTTTTTTACATAGGCTTAAATTTTTAAATTTATAAGTTTCTTCATGAGTTTAAAAATTCAGGTAGCGAATTGTTGACGCTGCCGATTACAATTGGTAAAGAAGGTTCTACGTTACATAGAAGCTGAGGTATTACAAATTTGACATTGTCAGTTTTTTCCTGGTTAAGAGGAAGATAACCCCACTACCACTCCCTGAAGAGCTACTGCCGCGTACCCTTACTTTGACGGGCTCTGGATTGATCAATTATGGGCAAATTCAATTAAAATTTACAGAGCATAAAGTTTAAACTTTCATTTACAAAATGTTAAAATTTCAGGTCTTAATGTTTATAACAAATTGCTGATTTAAAAAAAAAATGCTAACTCCGGACCTATTGGTCGTAGAAACTTGTTTTTTTTTTCAATTTGTAGGTTTTTTACGAGCTTTTTAACTTTTTGATTTTAATTATTCAGGTAAATGTATATATTTTTTCGTATTACCATTTGCATTTTTTCACCAGTAATTCAATTGTAAGGGTATGCATAGTAGTATTTCCCATAAGAACTTATGTTAAATATTCAAATTTTTGGCATTAATTAAAAACAAAAATAAATCGATAAATAATCTGAGAATATTTCACAGAATTTAATTATTTCGCACTGCAAAAATAATATTCTCAATAATCGATCCTCCTTAATTTGTGATCTCAATGTCAGTGACCTTTGACATTGACCTACTTTAGGAGAACCACAATAACATTAATCCTAGGTGGGCAAAAAACAAATGGTCAACAACATTTATTTTAGTTTCCAGTTTATCGGTTTACGAAATGGTGTTTGTAGCACGGTAGGCAATTTCACGACTTTCTGTGTGAATTATTTTTGTTTTAACTGAAACTGAAATAGAATTTGTATAGTGCAATGTTGTGTTTTATTAAGTTTAATTTTCTCCCAGAATTTTAAGAGGTATTTAATGAAGACACGTGGCGTAAATGTATATCTTATAGTTAAACTTATAAACTTATAAAAAATACGGGTCCCCTAAATTTGTCTTAAGAATCTATGACCAAATTTTGTTGCATGAATTTCGGGACACCCTGTATAGAACCGCCATATCCGATGTTGTTAACTAGATTAATATGTACATATATAAGATTTTTAACGGTATAAACTGGTTACACATTTTCTTTGAAAATTCAACTCAATATTTGCATTAAAATGTAGCTATCCAGTGCAGTACATTGTAGAGACGGGTGTACCACAAGGTTTAGTTCTCGGCCCAATTCATTTTCTGATTTATATGAATGACTTAAATTCTATTTCAACAAACACAGACTTTACTAGCTACGCAGACGACACTTCTTTAATTCTCTCTGGATCGCTTGGAATTTAAAAAGTACAACAAATTGACTGATGAATTAAAAGGGAATATTTATTTAAAGGTGTTTAAAAGCAATTTTTAATGAAATTATGTTCTCTATTGGCATTTTTGTTAAATGTTAAGAGAAGAAATTCAGTTTTCACAATGGAATCTTAGAAAAAACACTTATGATAAGTGTTTTTATAGACATCTGTATAAATATGGCCCCCATTCAAAGTTGCACCCTGTATACATACATAACACCAAAACGTAGAATAATTTAAACAGCATTTACAGAAGGTTACCGCAAAGATACGAAGACTACATATCTAACTGTTGTTCTAGGGAAACCCTGGAATTAGATCAACCATAAAACCCACAAAATTTTCTGCTTGACGAGCAAACTATAATTGTTCAAGTGACGGTACAAAAAAGTTCCATACTTCAAACGTTCTGAAGCTAAAATTCTACAAATTTGGAGGCAGAAATTTAAGTCGGTTGCCTCGTCAAGCACCCGAAAGCCCAACATCACCGAAACCGGAACAAATTCAAAAGTTTTTATGCAAACGTAAAAACTCACCCTCAAATTCTGCCGGTTTTCCAGAGCCGCCTGTTTCTTCTTGCTGGTCACCAAGGCGGAGGAATTGATGTCGTACGGCTTGTACCTAATGTCGGAACCAGCGCTGTTGGCGGGCGACTTCACCGTGCTGGGCCTCGAGGAGTTGCTATTGTGAAATTGCACGTCGGTAACGGACACGTGATTGTTAGCCAGCGCGCTCGGGTCCCCTCCGAACACCTGGTGCTTCTGGGGTATAGACTTGTAACAGATCGAACACACTTGCACCATGCCCTGGGGGCTGATAGGGCTAGCCCCGGGCGGGGGCTTTAGAGTCTGTATGAACGGAAAATACGGCTCCTTCTCCGAGTTCGGGCAGGAATACAACAGGCGTATGCTGCTCGAGGGGTACTCCAACGCGCAGGTGTAACAGATGAATGTGGTGGTGTCCAACGTAGAACTCTGCCTTTTCCGTAGGGTGTAATTCCGGTCGCCGTGCGACACGCCCTGAGCCTCGAACATCTGCCACTGTTTCAGTAAATGTTGCTGGCAGTCGACGCAGGCCTGCACTCTGCCTGCCGAGTCAATGGGTCTGCTCCTGCTCGGGCGGGGGTGTTCTATTAAACTCTGAAAGAAAGGTTTGTTGGGCGGGAAGTCCGCCAACCTCTTCGAGGCGACGTAGTCCAGGCTGCCCCGTTTGAATTCGTCACCGCAGACGTAGCACACCTCCGTTATGGAATTCTTGTCGGGCATGCTGAGGTCGAGGATGTCGGTGCCGGTCGACGAGTTTGAATTTTGGCTGTGATACACGGGCACGGGTATTGACTGAACGATAGGCTGCGGGTGGGTCAAATCTAGAGCTCCTTCGGTAACCATGTCTTGCTCCTCCCGTTCTATAGCGGGCATCTACAAATAAATATTTTATTCACTATAAAACGGTGAATTACGAGGGTGGATGAAATAGTAAAGAGATTTGTACGAGGTGATCCACGATTTTATTTTTATTGTGATTTACTTTGCTATAATAATAATAATAATAATAATAATAATAATAATAATAATATCTCTACTTCTCATTCTAACCACGAGAATTAGCCCAGAAGTCGAAGACTTGTGCGGGAGAGGAGGCGGCATATTATTATTAAGCAGGCCACATTTGCGCCCAGGAACGACTTATATTGGTATTGAAATAAATGAACATAAAAGATATAGACGTATATAAATAATTCTGCGAAACCAGAATATGCAATCAGAAATCAATTACAGATTTTGGTGAAAGGGAAAAAACATCGATATATAAATTGTTTAAAAAATACAAAAGTTAGTAAGTAATTTTTGTTTTATCATTTGGAACTTAGAAGTACCAAATTTGGTTTTTCTAGGTTAAAATATATACACCAAGAGCATTAATCGACAGTAAGTAGAGTTCAATTGAAGCACTTTAAAGGGTTGATAAGGTTGATGATGCACCATTAAAATGTGACAGAATTTTTTAACCTGTTGGTAGACTTAAAAAATTATTACATTGTTTTATGGGCAATTTAATTAAAACTTTTCTTATTCTTGTTAATTTTCAAAAAACCTTGTTATTTTCAACAAAAACACGAATAACAAATAATACATATTGTAGCTGTTATTTAAAATCATCGAAAATTCAAAAGTTGGCTATGAATTTAAAAGTCAAACTTGACGATCAGGAAAAAAGTTAGAATAAGAATAATTTAATAAAAAAACAAACAACTTAAACAACAGAAATAACAAACAATTTGCACTGATAAGTTATAAAAATTGTTCAAAATAATCACCGTTATCTCTCGGACATAAATTTATTCTTCGTCGTTCTGCAGATTTTTGACATTTTAATTAATAGCCAACTTTTGAATTTTCGATGATTTTAAATAACAGCTACAATTATTATTATTAGTTATTTGTGTTTTTGTTGTAAATGACAAATTTTTTTTGAAAACTAACAGCAAGTTTTAGAATTAAATTCCCCATAAAACAAAGTAATAATTAATAATAAGTTGCATCATCCCTTACCAACCCTTTAAAATGCTTCAATTGAACTCTACTTACTGTCGATTAATGCTCTTGGTACAATCACATCGTCTGCCAAATTTCGTTTTACTAAGTTCAAGTATAACTGACATGAGATATTGATTTTTTTTCAAAATTTGAAACCCCACTTTCAGGGTCTATAACTTCTCAACTTAGTATAAAAGTAAGCTACGTTAAATCGCCATATTTTGGGTTTCCCACATGCTCCTGCTCTGTGTCGCTTGCGAAACACCCTGTATATTTGCATTGAGTGTGAAATATTTGTATAAATATGCCCAAAAAATTACTTACGATACAAGAATGGGATATGTGAAAGCTGTGTTATTTACTTTTTTATTTCTAAATTTACACCAGGTGAATAATGTTTGCACCAGATGAAAAGGAAATTGATAAATATATCAGCAGAAATCTAATTTTTCAAAAATATTGTCTTATCCCCCTCTTATACGGAGGTCATCAATTGAACATCAATTTAAAAAGGCATGTCCAAGGAAAACTGTATTTTTTTTGCAGAAAACATGTTACAAATATTGATTTCCATTCAAACCGAAAGTTCAACAAATGAAAAACTATTACTGAAGCGTTTTTGAGGTATTTTGATCATTTTCACATTTTCTGAGTCCACAAGACATTTTACATGTTTTATCTCATGTACAACTAATTGTAAATCACAATAAAAAGAGAATTATGGATAACCATGTATTTGAACAACGTAATAAGTAGAATGTGAGGCGTAATAAATTTTTCATACAATAAAATATTATTTTATTCTGAAAAGGTAATAAATTAATTTAAAAAAATATACGTTCTCTTATTAACTGTACTTAAGTTGATTCAAATAAATAGAAAAAAATTATTCTAGTAAATCTTACCAAATGAAGTCAATGTTCTTCGATACCAGAAGTCTAGTTATGTCAAAGATATCAAACCCCACAGACAAGACTCCTAACTGCGGATATTGCGGGAAATAACTACTTTATGCTAGTTGGAGAATGTAGTCCAGAGAGTAGTTGTATCCCGCAATATCAGCAATTAGAAATCTTGTACGAAAGTTTCTGATTTCTAGTACTGAAGAACACCGACTAATAACATTATTTAGAAAAATAATTTTGAATTTGAATTAGCTTAATATATTTAAAGTAGAGTAAAAAAACGTACTAAATTTATTACCAATTGAAAGTGCAACTATATCTAAAAGTAAATCCACCCTCACAGTTTGATATTATTGCATTCAATATAAAAAAAAGTGTTAAAACTCATAAAAACGTTAAATTTACAATAATTATGATTGTGATATACGGACTCATAAAAACATTTACAAAAGAGATTTACGGTAGAAAATTACATGCGATCGGTAAAAAATTACGTCAATCATTTTACTACAGAGGTTTATCCAAACAATCAGGCTACTTAACACACAAAACCATAAACACACAATATGTTTGAGTAGCAATTAACATCATGTGAATCAAAGGGGTTAGAAGAAAATTCCTGGTCAAACACTACACGCACTCAAACAGCAACTGACGAATACGTTTGGTTTACGGCTTAATCAAATTCCGTAAAGGTCAAATTTTTACAGCCGTGTAGTAGAGGATAGTAAACACAGATTTTATCTAACTCCACAGCAAAACATGTATTTCCACTGACTGAATTTATTGAATAAATAATATCATGTTATAAAAAATGTCTGCGGGTATGTCACAATCAAATATTACTTGTTACATTCCAGATTTATTCGGTTCTCACGAAACATCTTTGATAAGATCACTTCACACAATCTCAAACGTACTGAATTAAAATTCTATAAACTAGATTTAAAATGCACAAATAAGAGTGTGTATGTGAAAACAACACTCAAGGCTAAGGTAGTTCATTTACATAATATTAAGATTTGCATTATTATCAAATATATATTCGATTTTAAATAATACCTGCTAAAGCGTGACTGTTTATTTGTGAATGATTTCGAATACTGATTATTCTAAAACTAAAAAGCCGTCAGGATGAGGTAATCATCTGTGAAACCCATTACTTGCCTAAGATCAACTTCTACCGGAGTATGTTCGTTAAAAAACTTGAAGGAAATAGTGACAGATTATCCAAACACGATTTTAAGGTAATCTAACCTTTCTGACCTTTAACCCATTGACCCATACCCAATTGACAAAACGGTGATTTCACATTTTAATTACTGTGCCGAATGGCAAAAAAATTACATATCGCGAAACATGAGACATATTTGATGTCCTCCAGTAGCGATAACTAATTCTTTTTTGTACTTTTATACATAACATATATTATCACAGAGTAATCATAAAACTTTTTTAATTGTGATGGAATTTAAAATATTTAAACATTTTTCCAATAGGCACAACCTTACGTGGTTTTAAAGTGAAAATAGGAGAGTTAAAAGTACACAGAACATATATTTGGAGCTGGCAAACATATTGATTCTATAAATTATAACTTGTTAGATAATCAAGTATAAGTTGCTTAAGTTAAATTGAAAGGCAGAACGGGCAAAAGAAAGACATTATTTTCATTATTATTTGTCATATTTTATCTAGAAAATCTCACTCAAGATAAACAAACTAAGTTACTCTCTTAACAGTAGATGTAAAAAGGTTTTATTCATAAATATACGTACACATGTAACTAAAAATTTTGTAAACATTGCAATTAACAATTCTTAATCCATAAATAGTTCATAAAATTGTGTCACCTTTTAACACATTTTTTTATGCAAAATTAGCAACATATCTGTTGCGAGAAATGTTTGTTTTTCTGTTATATCAATTTATAACACACAAGTAACTAGTTATCATTAATTTTAAAATAAAATTCGAGAATATTTAGAAAAAATTCTGAATTTGCTCTAAAATACAGGGTGTTTTGCATAAGAACCGACACAAAGCAGGGGCATGTAGGAGACCCAAAATATGGTGATTTAACGCAACTTACCTTTATACTAAGCTGCACCCCGAGTTGTTACAGGCCTTGAAAGTGGGGTTTCAAATTTCGAAAAAAATCAACATCTTAGTTATACTTGGACTTGGAAAAATCAAATTTGATACTTAGAAAAACTAAATTTGATGTGTGCGTGCAAAGAGTATTGCCCACAGAAGAGGAAATAATTGCCCACAACTTTGGCCTGTACTATCACCAGATCTCAACAAATGCGACTTCTTTCTTTGGGGAACGTTAAAAAAATTTGTGTATTCCTCCCCAGCTGCATCTCGAACAGAATTGTGGTATCGCATTACAAATAAATGCACATTCATTTGAAACAATCAGCTGTTATTAAATAGAGTAGACTTCAATTTTCAACGAAGAATAAATTTAGGCCTGAGAGAAAACGGTGATCATTTTAAACAATTTCTATAACTTATCAGGGCATATTGTATGTTATTTCTGTTGTTTAAGTTGTTTGTTTTTCTATTAAATTATTCTTATTCCAACTTTTCTCCTGATTGTCAAGTTTGACGGTTAAATGCATAGCCAACTTTTGAATTTTCTATGATTTTAAATAACAAGTACAAAACGTATTAATAGTTATTCGTGTTTTTGTTGAAAACAATAAAATTTTTTGGAAACTAACAAGAGTAAGAAAAGTTTTAGAATTAAGTTCCTCATAAAATAAGGTAATCATTTTTTAAGTCCGCCAACGGGTTAAAAAATTCTGTCACATTTCAATGGTGCATCATCACTTATCAACCCTTTAAAATGCTTTCCCTATGTGCCCCTCCTCTCTGTCAGTTCTTATACGAAACACCCTGTATATGTAAAAATTACCAAAAAAAAACAATTGTCATGTAAGGGTTGCAATATATTGGCCAATTTATTGTTCGAATTTAAAGCTATTAACTTTTAAAATAAAAAAAATCGTGATAACGAACCATAATAGCTTAAAAAATTTAAAATAAAAATGGTGGAGTTTAAGTTTTTACTGAATACATGCAAAAAGTCACTAAAGATCACCGTAATTTTGTAACTGAAAACTATGAAATAAAAATAAATTACTGACTAATTTGGTGATTTTTAGTAACTTTTTGTATCCAATAGTACCAATTTTAGGTACATTCTACAGTTTTGACATTTGTTTTTATTTTAAAGTCAAAAAATCAATACAGTTGTTATTGCAATATATCTCCTGGTTTGCAATTATATGACTGAGTTTTAATTTAAAACTTAATATTGAAAAATATTGTGAACGTTAAAAATTTCTTTAAAAATTTATTGTGTTAAAAATTGGTAAATATAATATGTATTTTTTTCTGTATTAAGTATGTAGGTACGAATACAACTTGCCCAAGTTTTAAAAACATTTATAACATCTCAATTTCCATCAGAATCGACGAGACCTGTTAAAAATGAACCATACCTGGGGCAGCCTCGACGAACCCTTGGTCTTGACAAGTTCTTCCCTCTGAGCAACCGGCCTGGGCACAACAGAGCCCACACCCTCGCTATTCAGACCAAGCACCTGAGCAGCGTACTCCCCCTGAAGCCCCATGTCGGCCCCCGTGTAGGGGCCATTGTCGACCCGTTTCAGCCAATACAGCCTCTGCGAGTGGGGCTGAGCCGTAATCTCATGCGAGTCCCACTGTTGCAATAGAAGCGTGTAACACAGGTAGCAAGCCTTGACGGCATACTCATTTTTGGACACGTAACCGGCGGGAGGTTCGTGGGACTCCAAAAAAGGGAAATACGGCTCTTTCGGCTTGTTAGGTACGGGTTTGACGTTCAAGTAGTAACTCTGCTGGTGGCTGCGGTTGCCGCACACAAAACACACTTCTAAGTTTTCTGGCAGTTGGTTAGAAACTGGAATTGCATCTGATGGTATCTCTTTTTTCACTTGCACTTTGTCCATTGTTTGCATCGCAAACCTGGAAGAATGGGCACTTCATGTAACCTTGCGAAATGAATTATAAATTGCCTCAAATTCAGTGTGAAAGATATCTAGTGTTCTAAATTAAATTTTCTCGCTACATTGTGTGTAATTAATTCATAAATGATGGAATCGGATGCAAGCAACTAAAACTATTTTTTAACAGCCTTCACGTATTCATATGCATTTTCTTAAGCCAGCATACATGTTTAATACATTTTTTTAATAAAAATCGTAAAATACTTATTGTATAGAGCTCCTTAAATTACATTGTATTAAATAAATACAATTTTCGTATCATGATTAAAAATGAGATTTGTACTCATTCTAAGAACGATGGTTATCTGTAGACGGTACTTTTCACAAAATAATGGCAATTTAAATAAATAAGATAATTTTATAGCCCGTGGAATATTACCTAAGTTTTTTATATACCTAAATCATTTTTTGTACGTTACATCGTAAATAAATAATATAAAATTTGGCGTGTATATACAAACTCACAATTTAAATAGATAAGGGAGATTTATTATTTGTGAAACAATGAACCATTTCTAATATATACAACTTTTTGAACCTTGACACTGGCCTTTTCACTTTCAAATTGACAGAACCTGTTTCATTTTTTAATGGGTTTTACAAAAAATGCCTAAGATGTCACAATGAATTTTAACTTTTAATAGGTACCTATTTGGGTGTAATTTAAAATGTGTATAAACAATATTTCAATTCAAAATGCATGTTCATTAGAATTTTGAATTAAATATGTTCCCTCTTAACTTTACCATACATTTATACAAAATCTTATTAATTAATGAAAAAAGTTTTTAAAATCTAAAATAATCAATATTTAGTTATATCATAAAGCTAAGTATTAAAGATATAACAAAAAAAAAAGGAGTGAATGATTTGAACTTGGCAAAAAAATTGTTCATGAAATTTTAAACAAATGAAATATAAACATTTAAAAGTTGCGCAATTTTTAAGGCATTAATATTTACAGTATACACTTGGATAAATATTTTTGCAGATGCCCATAAACAGCAAATTTATACAAAAGCTTCTATTGGTTATTTAAAAGTTGTAAATCAATCACCAATTGTAATTTTTCAAATGTAATGAAGATTTAGATGTCTTTTTAGGAAGATCATTACAAAAGAATATAACTTTTTATTTAACCTTAATTTCAATATGTATTATAAATAAATGATAATACCTAAATGATCAGTCACTGACACCAAAAGGGCACATTGAATCCTTGCTGTGCTCTCAAAGTTTAATGAAAAGAGCCCTTTACAAGTATTTATTTAAAATACCTATGAAACCTTGTTTCCGAAATTAAATTAAATACAAGATGAAGTTACTAATTTCCAGAGAAAAACAATTTTTCTGTCCATAAATTAGCTTATATAAAAATATTTAAAATGGAATATAATGGATATAACATGAACATGGCATATAGAACTACATCTAGACATGTTTATCTATCAACTTACTTGAGATAAGACGTTTTCTTATGGATATTCCAAAAATATACTAAATTTCCACTAACTTATGCGTGAAAACATCAGATGCTCTTATCTTTTCTAGTCTGTTATTCACCTAAACCTACATTGCACTTAAAATATTAAAAACAGCACATAACACTGATTCCTCACATAAATACAAAACATATGGCATCATTAAATAAACGAAAACCATCTATTAAAAAAAAAGATACATTTTATAAATGTTACGTTTCATACTTCTTTAGCTAAAGTCAGCCATTTTGGAAAAATTTCCAACAATGCAATACGGCACTGGCAAACACTTCCACCAACTTTGTGGTGAATTTTAAACTAAAACTTTAAAAAGTAAACTCCCAAAAGTCAGAGAAGCCAACCCAAGGCTGAAGGGGCAATTTGAAAAAATAAGAAATTGACAACATATAATATGCTTAAAGTTTTTACCTTATAATTAAACATTTCAAATGTGTAGGAATGTCATTCTTTATTTTTCAAAAGAAAGTTTCTATTTGACACATACATGTGCTATTTGAATTTGTTATATTGGCAGTTTTGAAATGTCGTTTTAAAGCTATTTTTCACGGTGTTACATCTTTAATATGGTTATAATTTGAATGGTTTTGTTAAGAACTTTTATACAATCAAAATTTAAAACTTTGTTTATAGAAAAGGAATATGTAAATAGTATAGATTTATTTATAATACATTTTTAGGCTTTTTTTACTTTAGATTTTAGTTTATCTAGATTTAGTTTAATAGATATTAGTTTATTTAGTTTAAAAGATTTTATTTTGTTTTAATCATCCACCATATATCGTCACTTTGTTTCTATTAAAACAGCACAAATTAAACAATTGTTATATACAGAGCGTTTTGGAAAAGGGTGTCGTAAATGCCGTGGCTGATAGAGATTATAAAAAAATGATACAATTTTACGTCATCTATTTTTGAAATATAGCGCGTCCAAGATGATTTCTTGAAATCACATATTAGCCACATCTTTTCTAATAAACGATAGAATGAATTGAAATTTCGTATAAGTACGTCATTGTTTAAGTTTTTTACCATTTTCCAAAGGCATCTACAACTATGTCCAGCGATATTTTATGAGCATTTTTAGAAGTTTTTTTTTAATGTGTCCGTCATATATAATATTGTAAAATTAAATTTTACATTAAACAGGTTCTTGTATACCGATATAATGTCTAAACAGCAGTGTTCTTGAGAAAAAAACACAGCATATAAGTAACATACAGGGTGTTCTAAATCGAAAGAGTCAACTTCAAGGCAAGGATAGCTTCTTTGAATGAAAACAAACTGATTTATATAAAGTTTGTCTTGTTACAAATTTATTCCCTTAAATATTTACGTTGGTGTAGTAGGTATACAGTATTAGTTACGGTACATACAAAGGTAACTAATAATACTAATAATAATAATGTATATATCCGTGGTGTGAATATAATATGCCTACGCGCATGTCGTGACGTCACTAGTGTGATCCGTTGACGTCACGCGTAGACAGGACGTTATTGAGCCAGCTGATGAGTACACCATTTTATACATTATAACCTTACCTCAAATAAGTTTTGCCATAAAATGTCATTAGCTAAAGTTGTAAAACCATAGCCATAGCAAGCGACCTCTAGCAAATGGTCAAAAATTAACACTAACGCATTTGGCAGCCTTACATGCAGTAAATTTCAAAGCATAATGCTGTTTTTTAGGAGATTAAAATATTACTTATTTACATACAACATATAAATATTGATCAGATAATTCCAATTTACTTGGAATTTTCTAATTTTCTACGTAAATGCTTTACTAAACTATGAAAACGAAAAATTGTTATCCAGCTATGAAAGATTTTGTTTTATACCCTTTTATGATACTATATTATACTACGCTTTACAAGAATTGATGGTTGCCTATTCCTTGAGCAAGATTGTAATTTATTTTTAACAGTGACGTGCAGAAGGGTAGCCAGGAGGCATTAATACATTTCATCAAAAATTAAAATTTCAGTTCAGTGTAAAGCTGTTCTACAGAATTTGTATATAAATTTGTTTTATGAATTTAAATTAATTCACAAAAAAGTTATTATACTGTTATATTCTGATAAAGTATTTTTTATTCTTTATTGTTTTGGGAATTTTGCTTCAATAAAACAAGGAAAATATAAGATATCTTGCGTTTATTAAATAAAAATACACAAATTCGATAATAATGTTGGTAAAAGATTTACTAAACCTAACAGTTAAATTTTTAAAGCAATTTTTTTCTACAAAAAAATACAAAATTATTATGCACCATTTATTACTTAGAAACTAAACTGTGACAAAATGAGATTAAACCGAAAAAAAAATGTTACTACCACATCGAACATCTATTATTGCAAATATTGGCTAGCAAGTAGCGTCACGGAACATTGTATATTAATCTACAATTTTTTTGGAAGACTGGAGATGGAAAATTATATCAGACAAACGCTTCGATTTTGTCACCGACGATTTCCTAAATAATAAATGCGAAATTATCACAAATTAAATTTCCATTTATCACAACGTTAATACTAATTATTTTATATGTATATGTATATACAAATAACAAATAACTTAAACGTCTACGTCTAGTTAACACTTGCATTGATAGTGACTAAAAAGTATTGAAATTCAATAAACTAATTGTAAATAATGGAGGAAAGGCTTACAAAAATATATAGGATATGAAAGTGTCTCTACGGAGTAGTGAAAAAACCTAATTACACAGATTTAACGGTTTCGTTAAGGAGAAACGTACCTCGACGGATATTACAAATGGAGGCGACAGCTTACCGTTTATTAATTCCTACCATTACTACAATCATTCGTCCTTAGCCTATTCTGTTAGTCAACAGAAAATTTGTACATAGAAAACAAAGAAACCTCAATATGAGATCCTAAATATAAGTAAAAAAGTCGAACCAAAATGATTTACACACTGATCAACGATATCCCGAGAATATCAGTTCCCAAGAAATAGAAACGAAACGGATAACAAATCCTCAAAGTCTTAATCTCACAAGAACGTCAGAAAAATTAAAAACGTCTCGGCAAGTCCTGTTCTCGTACGCCGAGTCGAATTAACAAACTTGCTGACGGAATTCACCGGGCAGGTATAGTTTCTGCGCTTGCGTGAACTGCGAACGGCACAACGGGCACCTGTCGACTCTGGCCGCACATTCGGTGCAAGCGACAACGTGAGCGCAAGGAAGAAAGACGACGTCGATCTGGTTGTCCATACAGATTTTGCAGGTTAACGCGTCCATTAGTCGATGGAGTTTCTCTTCAGAGTCCTGAAAGAAAATAAACGTTTTTATTATTCGCAAATAAAGGCAAATAGACAAATTAAAAATTGCCTCATTATAAATTGTGAAATTTCATTTCACAGAAAATACATTCTTATCAAAATGAGTCAAAATGTATCACTTTAGGAAAATATGCAACTGATTGTAGCAAAGTCGACCAGTTTCTATCCTTAAAGGTTGCCCTCTTATCAAATACAATGAATCAAAGGAAAGATAAACCGTTTATCAGTGCTTTTGTTTATTTTCTATTGGATAAATGCAAAATTATTAACAATATGACTACCTAAGGAAGTTACAGTCTGACAGAACGTACTTGATAAAAAACGCAATGTTTAAGGATAGAAGTCCACTGATTTTATACATCGATTGAGTTTTTCTTGAAAATTATGTATTTTTATCAGTTAAAAGGAGCATCTTCTTAAAATCAAACTTAATAATACAAAAAACTCAACACCAAAAAAGTTGTTCTAAAATTTAAAATGTCACCGAGAAAGACGTCAACTAGCCTCTAAAAAACATGAATAAAATTTTTTGCATGGTCCATAGAAAAACATAATCATATACAGGATGGAGGTCAGTTTTTTAAAGCCAATTGTATTCGTCAATCAAAAATTATGTTTAAAGAAATAGTTAAATTATAACTTGTTTATTGAACTGCATTTAAACTCTTGTCTACGCCGCTACTGGGCAGCTCCTGGACTCACTTTATGTTGCACACGTATCAACATTGCCTGTTAATACTTTCTTAAACTGTATAAAACTAAGGGAGTAAAAACAGAACCCGTTGTTCAACTTTGCGACGTCATTTTAAAGATTTTAAAAATAGTCTTCACATGTTTTATACAGGGTGTCCCAAAATTAATGCAACAAAATTTGGTTGAAGATTCTTAAGACAAATTTAGGGGACCCGCATTTTTTTTTGCCAAGTGGCCCCCTTCTTTCGGAGTTACAGCCCTCTGAAAACTGCCCCTAAGAAGTCTTTTTTATATTTCAAAACCCTGTTGTGCAAGAATCACTAAATTTGGTACACAGGGGTTTTATGACATGTGGAATCTGATAGTGCAATGCTTTTTGGTGGGGAATCCCCATAAGACACTTTTTCGAGGGCCCCCTTAGTCTTTGGAACCAAAAAAATTTGGTCTCAATTTGAATTTCTTAAAAATTATTAGTTAGCTAGAAAGCCATTGAATTTACAAACCTTTTTGTCTCTTGATATTTTTTTCGTAAAACGCAATGTTTTTTGAGGAAAATGGCGAATCGCGATATGCATTCAATCACATTTTTACATTTTTCTCGAAAACATTGCATTTATGAAAAAAATATCAAGAGATAAAAAAATTTGTAAATTTAATGGCTTTCTAAAGTACTAAACATTTTAAGAAATTTAAATATGCGACCAAATTTTTTTGGCTCCTAAGATAAGGAGGCCCAGGAAAAGTTGTCTTAAGGGGGTTCCCCACCAAAAGCGTAGCACCATCAGATTCCACATGTCATAAAACCCCTGTGTACCAAATTTAGTGATTCTTGTACAGGGTTCCGAGATATAAAAAAAAGATTATTCTTAGGGACGCATTTCAGGGGGCTGTAATTCCGAAAGAAGGGACCTCTTGGCAAAAATGGAAAATACGGTTCCCTAAATTTGTCTTAAGAATCTGTGACCCAATTTTGTTGTATTAATTTCAGGACAGCCTGTATACTATAATAAGGAGCGTTCAAATAAAAACGTGGTAAAGTTGGTTCTGAAAATTTGGACGTAGGGAGTAGCGTATAGCAAATGAACTTAAACGTCATCTGTCAAAGCGCTGTATCGTCACTTTGTTATTGAAACTGACAGCTGCTATACAGCTCGTTGAGAAATGAGGTTAAGTTGGTCGCTATAAGCTACGCCCTACGTCCAATGTGTCAGAGCCAACTTCGACCACGTTTTTATTTGAACGCTCGTTATAACCGTTCTTTGTTAATGTTTTAATATTTTTCTAAAACAAAATCAAAATATGCACTAAACTGATAAATTTGAATTATTATTTTTTAGTGAATGACCTCTGACAGTGACATAGTTCAAGTGAATTATTTGTTAATATGCCTGATGAGATATGACAACAGGGTGGTAGGCAACCAAAAAAACAAACGGTCAAGCAAGAATAGCCATTTTTTCCTTCATTTTGATATGTTTAAATTTTGTAAAAATCTGTAATACAACAAAAATTTTGCGACTTTCCGTGTTAATTATTTATTTTACAATTAGTGTTTAGTGCGATGATAAGTATGTTTGTGTGTTTTCCATTAAATTTCTGTATGATATCAACATAGTTGCGACTATCGAGCCATTTCTTGACTGCCCAGTTGCGGGATAGGAAAATAATGAAATAAAAAACACGAAAAAATTAAAAATTTGACTTACTTTACAGTTCGCTCCGTCATGCGTACACTCCGACCGTTCCATCTGCGGCACGATCTGCATGGCACTCTGCTGGTACAGGGCCCTCCTGGCGTTGTCGTACACCTCCCGACAAGTCCTCCTGATATCGAACACGTACTTCTTCCCCAAGGTGGAGTCTTCGTTGAATATCGAAACGATGGTCCCCTTCAAGTCCCTAATGAACTGAGCCGTAACGGCGCTCCTCACAGTTTCACAACTGTAAAAGGCGTGCTTTTCCGTCAGGGCTCTATACAGACTACTCGCGACGTGACTAGAATCCAGTTTCGTCTCCAACAACGACTCCTTGTTGTCCACCGAAAGGTACTCCAATTTGAATGTGCGTCGGTGAGAGGAAGCGCTGATTATATTGGTGAACGATATGAGCTGCTTAGGCTTGTTCTTCTCGTAAATGGTGATCCCGTGGGGTCCGACACCGAGCATGACGTTACCCTGCGGTTTGGTGTTGAACATTTCCTCGCCGAAAGACTCGAACTGGGATATTTCTTTTAGTAGCCAGTATTCGGAGGTGGTACGTTTCATGCCCCTATACTTTTTATGTTCCGCGATGATTTTCTGGAGCAAATCGGTAGGTTTCTGCGAAGAATTCACAGAAGTGATGGCGGAGGCCTGCATGTACGTGTTGTAGGGTGGGTGAGAAGGTTCGTAGTCCCCTGAGTCGGCCTGGGCGATCAGAGCTATGAGTTTAGACACGCTGTCCCAGTCGGAGGCTAGGAGGCGCTTTTCTAGCAGGTCCACCCGCGCGTGGAGGTAGAATTCATGTCTGAAACAAAAATTTTGCTGAATATTCCTTACCGTTTTCGTTTTTCACTCTCGTATTTAAATAAGAAATTGATAAAAGCTTCAAATTGTAACGATTTCGTCTATATCGCAAATAATAGTGTTAAAATTTTGGACACCTTGTATTTACTGTGTGAATATTGACGTTGTGTTGCTTATGTGCTAATTCTTTCGTTTAGGTTCACCGAGCTAATTCATTCCAGCGTTTTGCAGTCTTTATAACGTTAAACAAATTTCATACAGCAAACAGTCTATAAGAAAATTAACACCGATACACAGAAAGCAGGTATTTTACTGGGATTTTGCATTAGCAAAACCTGTTTCTTTTTTGCCTAATTATATGAATACATGTCAATACAAAAACTGTGAGAAATTGCAAAGTTTGGTCAAGGAATTGGAAACGGCTGGTTCTTATTTTTTATCGACTTAATGTTTCAATTAGTTCAAATTCTACAATTTTGGTGGTGCGAATTGCGACTACTTCTCAAATAATTTATTGAGTCAAAAAATGTTGATTATAAAGCACGTTTAAGAACAATGTATATTTTTAAAATGTGTATTTACACACACTAAAATTAGAACAGAAAAACCAGACAAATGAATGTGTTTATTTTCCTTGGAAAACAATTTATAGCGCTCTATCACACACTTCTCGAGTTTTTTTATTTTCGAGAATGTTTACAAAGACCTCAGCCTTGAGTAATATACTGCTAGCCATTTTTAGTCACAGTTAAAGTTCAGACAAAAGTTTAACGCATGTATGGAGTGAAAAATGTTACCTCGTTGTTTCTTGTAAGAGCAAGTGCGGAGGTACCCAGAATTTCACCCTCAACGCCAATCTTATGGGACTGGTCTGTCCGTGGCAGTTCACCTGTCGGTCTATGGGATTCCTCAGGTTCAACCACAGTTCTTCCCCCTTGCTGTTTTCGTACTTCAGGCCGAAATAATCGGATTCGTTTGATATGCCTAAGTATTCACAGACCTGCAACAACAGAAAAAAAATAAACGTAAATTTATTACGTACTCAATGATTATTTTCATTGTTTGTATACGTCTTTTATTGTTTACTATGAATTTGTGTTTCAAAGGAGCAATTAACAACGTAAAGATACCGTTTATCACGGTAATATATTTTCTGTAATATCGTTGATTACTTCTATAATTACGTTCCAATATTTTATGGGTGGACGTGTATAAAGATATTCGTACTTTATAAATAGGAACTGTAGGTAGAATTTTGTAACATATCATAATGTTCTGTGTCAACTGAAAATTTTCCCGTGCTAATTTTAACTAGTACACCGCCTTCTAATTTTGGCATTCGGTCATAGGCAAATGAACTATTTTGTAGGACCTGTACCAAGGTGTCCTCTATACTTTATATAGCTTCAATTCGATCTGAAGGAGGAACTATAAATAAATATTAATATAACTATGCCATTATAATTGTTAAATATTTTTTGTGACTGACATCAAATTTGTACAAGAGCATGGATGGCAATAATGGGAAATTATTGTTATTTGCACTTGAAATGAAGCATAAATGTAAATGTTAGACAGTGTAAAACGAATATTAATAAAACGAAAACGTAAATAAAATTATTCAATTCGTTATTATATTACAATATTTCTCTAATGACATCATCTACCTCTTTACAAATAAACAACAGCTTTAAACGGCTTAATCTATATTATATACCTTTCACATGGTTTGTATGTAAATGAATATTGTGCACTAAGCTCTTATCTTTCATTTTCATGACGATTTTGGAACCTAAATGTGTATACATAACGTTTTAGAAAACATCTTAAATTATGCATGTGAAAGTTGTTCGAGAGTAAAAACGACTTTTAATGCGCTTGTGGCAATTCGTCAATTTCTTCGAGTGGATGAAGACAACATGGAAATCATTTTATTTAACCACAAGCTCGGTCTTCCGCGAAAAAATACAGAAATACGCAGAAAAAACGGTTAACGCTTATTTGTTCTTGTTATCAGAATACAGCGAATTGATTGTTTATATACTTTGTTATGATCATTCTACGAGGTTAAGTCCTGTCCTGCATCTGGGCTTCCGAAAATATCTCCGTCCAGGCATTGTAAAATAGGCGAAATGCTGGCGAAAAACTCTGTGGGCGAAAATAAAACTGAAAATATAAGCCACACACTGGATGCATGATCGTTTAATAATAAGTGGCATCAAACAGAAACGTGATTAACAAATCGGTTTGCCAACGGGAGGTAAAATTAGCGGGCTCGGTGCCACGGGCGTAGGTAAGCCAAATGCACTATTTTTATTGCCAGACTAAATGCATACTTTGGGTACTTCCACATTTTTTTCCAGTCGATATTTTTAGATTTTAACTATTCATCAAAATTGCGCAATACTTAAGTAGGTAGTTTATTCTGCGGCTCAAAGAAAGTAATTTCTGAAATATCTACTAAATTTATTCTACCGAAAACAATTATTTTTATTAGTTTATCCAAGTTATTTATTATTAGATATCTTTTGTTTATATCTATTTCAAAAACAAACTTATAAAAATGACAAAATAATTAGGCATGTCAATAAATTACACAAAAATGATGGTCATTAAAAGCGATATTTATAAATACATTTTCATAAACTTCCATTAATTCTTGAAGCAAACAAGAACAATCCGTTGAAATACCTACTTGTAGCGTCTTGTTTTAGCTGCGATTTCGTGATCATGGTTTGAAACTACAGTGATTGGCTAATTTTAAAAATTCGATAAGACGATTGGCTATTATTTGAACGTGATTCGAAATCATAGTGCAAATGAAGATAGAGTTTGGCCAAACTAGCGACGTTAAGATTCCCTATTATCGGAATCAAAATAATGTTCGACTTTCCAATACATTTTTATGATTAATTAATTTTCACACAAATCTACAAACTTTTAGATTAATCAAGTTCCGCCCCACCCCCCCATTGTTCTCATTTGACTCAAAATGGCGCTTTGACAGAAATGTCATTCTCAGTTTGACATTTCTAAATATTTCACAATATTATGTATTTATTTTTTGATTTAGGAGCTATTTGTCAAAAAACTACCATAATTTGACCGTTTGTACTAAGTTACACTAAAATATTAGGTTATCAAATAATAAACTGTACCTACTTGAAAACTAAAATCCATAAATATGTATGTTAAAATGAGAATGCTATTCTTATGTTTTTGTTTTACCCATATACCTACGTTTCATTAATTTTATATAAAAATTAGGCCAGTCATTATAGCTTTTTTCGGGAAAAAAATACTATTAGAAGTTTCTCTGCGGCATATTGTTCCGAAACGTGTTATAAACAAAATATCAAAAAATCAACTCGAGACTAATTGGGAAACTTTGTTAAAACAATGGTCAAAATTATGGAAAAGTGGTTTTTTGACTCGCGTAAAAAAACTGTTACTCATAGAGAAAAAAAGTTTATACAAAAAAGGTAGGTATTAAATAAATCTGTAAAATAAGACAAGTCCGATTAAATTCCGATAATTTGTTTATGCGCAATTGAAAATAGCATCTTAGATAATAAATTCCGCCAACGCCAAGCTAATGAAGCTTTTGGGCTGACATTTTTACCACTTATTAAGGGTGCAAAAAGCCTAAAAAATCCTGAATTACAAGTGTCTGCGATGAAAATTGCACTAATTATTAGCAATTGAAAAAAAAACGGCCATTTTCGACCATTTTTGAGCTCTTGCGCATAAACAAATTATCCGAATTTAATCGGACTTGTCTCATTTTAAAGGTTTATTTAATACCTACCTTTTTTGTATAAACCTCTTTTCGCTATGAATAATAGTTTTTTTACGCGAGTTAAAAAACCACTTTTCTATAACTTTGACCATTGTTTAAATAAAGTTTCCCAACTAGTCTCGAGTTGATTTTTTGATATTTTATTTATTCCCGAACAATATTTCGCAGAAAAACTTCTAACAGTATTTTTTTCCCGAAACAGGCTGTCCCATGTCTATAATGACTGGACTAAATAGGTACATTGAAAATTCAAACGTATATATTTCAAGGCTGCAAAAGAGACTTTGTGCCAAACCCAAAATGGCGGTTGATTAAAAGTATTAAAATAATTTATAGAAGTATGAAGTTGATGTATTGATAGATTGGCATAAAGAATAGTTGGCGAGATGAAACAAAATAATCACGCACATATGAATCACAGAATAAGTACTGAAATTAGTAGTAGGCAAATTTAAATTTACTATGCAACAGCCATTCGGTTGAGCCCAAATCGCCACCCGAGACGGCGACTCTGAATCTGAATCACCACCACCGTCGCACCCGCCGAGAAAACTACATTATGCAAGCCGCTTCGAGGAATCCAAGGTTCCCCAGCCCACTACGCCCATGTCGCCGTCCAAAGTCCACTTGACCGAGAATTCTCTTACAGAGAAACACCACCGCTATCACGTCCGCAGGAGCGTGGCTTTCGACGGTGTTAATGAGAGAGCATGCCGCCGTATCATGGGGAAGCCTTGCCGTTGGACTTTGGACCGAGCAAATTATAAATACACCTTCTACGAACCAGCCGGAATTTCTCTACCGAAGGCTCCCGTTTAGTTACCAAACGAGATTTTTTTATTTAATTATAGACGGTTGGGTGTACACTTCCTTTTCCACTTCCCTCTATTAAGTACTTAATTAACACAAGAGTAATTAAAGAAAAATGAACTAGGCACTTGATCAGTAACTATTTTGCTTACCTACGATAGTACGTACCTATTTTAATATAGGCTGTTAAAAAAATAACTTTTATTCTACAAATCCACAACCTGCTACAGTATTAGATTGAATTATTGTCAAAAGTCAAAATGCATTTCTTATGTTTACGTTTACAGTTGTTTTGTTATTTTTTCAGTCAAGTGGTCTGTTTATCCATTTCAAGTGTTTTTGTTACAAAGATATCAGGACGATAAATCAGATGAAGCAAGAAATTTCGAAATTCGTTTACAAAACGAAGCTAAAAGTAGGATTTTAGTCATATCCGCCCTACAATTCAAAGTAAAGATATGTAGATAGGTGTCTCATCTTGAAAAATGTATAAACTTGTAACCGGGTTAATTACATTTTATTTTTGATAATTAGATATGAATTACTCTCATGAAATCACGTATACCAGAAACTAGAGTAAATTGGAACACCGTTTTAATCTAAAAGGCTTGAATTGTTGTTTTAGCACACTTATACGTTTACCTACGTGCCAACGGGGAAGCCTTGCAGTTGGACTTTGGTCTCGAGTAAATTTATAAATACACCTTCCACGACAACACGGAATTTCTCTTTCGAAGGCCCGTTACACTTGTTTTTGTCGTATTATGACTTAATGCATACTTTTTCGCTAATTACACACGCCATTAGCATTTTTTTACCTTTCAGATCAACAAACTAGCTCGTTTCGTCAAGATGCAGCGACAGAAAAAACACAGATGACAAATTTTTAATTTACATAAAAATATATAGGTACGTTACACAACACATACATGTTATGTTTAGAAAATACTAGTTTTTTTTTTATTGAAGATTATTTTTTTTCTGTAGCAGGAATATATTTTCCTATATTTTCACTGCCAAATAAAATCCTGGGCCTGGGTTTTGGAACCATTCCAAGCCTTCTTTCATCTAGATATCGCCTACAACTAAGCTTTTCACAGCAAGCCGCGATAAATGATTCGATTTGCATTTTTGCAATTTAGGATTTAGGCATTTTCATATTACGCTGTTTGCACGAAATGCAAAATAGTTTTGTAGCCATCCGCAAAACGTTTGCAAAATCCGTTACTCATCAAGTTACCGAGTGTCAATTAATGCTACGCCCCGTTTTTCTATTGTTCGAAAACCATAATCGGAGGCAAATATTGACAGCATATCGAATTGGATAATTCACGACAATTATTGTCGTGAATTTGAACGTTGGACTTTGGAACCTTACCTGTAGCGCGGACTTTGGACGACACAGAACGTGCTTGTGATCAGTGAGTGATAGAGAAAACGTGTTTCACGGAAAAAAGCCTGATAAAAGATTATTTTGTAATTTATAATAATGGTCTTGTTTATGTCGTTTTGTGTGCATTTTGATCGATGTACTTAGACGATTAACTCTGCTCTTGAGGTCTTAAGTACCACCAATGCCTGACCCCTGTACCTGTACATCGGGTACATTACACTTCTGACTAATGCAAATTAGTGATAAATTATCCTATTTTTTACCAAAGCGTGTAATAAACAGTTTTATTAGTCAGGTCGTATTTCTTCCGGTTATTTCGCGTTTTTTTAAATGTTTGACAATGGATAAAGTAAAAACAATGTTATGCAGGTACTTATGACATTTAAATTGCAACATTTTAGTCACAACCAAATTTAAAATGAGATCAAACGGTTTCGAAACGTTCCATTTAAGTAAATCTCAACTCAACCTTTGATTATCACGAGTTTTTTTTGTAAAGCGTAAGCAATTTAAATGATGAAAATACTCAACCAATCGAAGGTCAAAATTTTTTTTCAGAAACCAGGAAATATAATTTTTTAGTTTTGATTTAATAGTCCCAGCATCCCAGAAAAAATATCCAAGACTCTCGAAAATGGCTTATAAAAAAACAAAAAAGTACGTGGCAACAGAATATCTGATAAAAAATAAAAGAAAATAACTTATTGCCCCCAATTTAGCAAGGTTACGATAACAAAAATTGTTTTTCTTTTTTGATAATTTTTACGGTTTATTCTAATCATTGTTATATAAGATTGTTTATAGTAACAAAGACTTATGGGGGCCTGTAGCCCTAATAATGTAGTGGGTTATTTATAAATAGGTACTTATAAGTTTCTTCGTGACCTATAGGTAGGATATTAGTGTATTAATCCCACAATCGAATTAATTTAGACATTCTAAACACGATGTATTATGTATGGAATACTAATAATGGCTTAAACTGATTCCGCTAACTTTATATTATTATTTATCAACGGTATTGTAGGTATATAAAACTGTTAATGGATTTTCGCAGACAAAACATGTGAAATGAAAATTAATTCCAGCTTTTACAAGAGCGAACCTTTACACAATGTAAGAAGGTAATAAAAAACTAGTTTTTGAAATATTCAAGAATTAAAATATGCAAAATGTATTTCAAGTTGTAAGGATCTAAAAATGTTAGCAGTTTATTAGACATAAAACTGTTTCTGTACAAAATATTAGAAAAATTATTATATCATTTATGTTTTTGAAGACTGGTGCATGTAAATCCATGTACGTAGGTATACAATACAGACTTATTTACCAATGTTATCAAAGATAAGGGGGCGAATGGTACCTCGTAAAATTGCGTGCATTTTATGAAGTAGGTTGAAACGACAACCGCGGAATCAAAACAAACAAAGACTTACCTTTTCAAGACACTCCTGTCCTATGGATTTGGGGTCTACCCTCACCTCGAAAACGACGGAATTGGGCTGGCTTATGAGACACCACATTTCGGCAATTTCGTCAAAACAAGCAGGCCAGTAGAAACGCGAGCTAGCAAAACCTGCTGCTCATCTGATGAAAATGTAAAGTTCTATGCTTCTTGTCGCGACTCGTCCTTTGTGTAAACTTTTTGACCATCTTACGGCTACTTCCATACTATGCTGCACCGCAACTGCGAACCGCAACAGCTTGAACGGAATTAAATCGAAAATCGAATTGGAACCTCCACAAGTCGCTTAAAATCTTTGTTCGTTGCGCACGCAATTTCCGACTGACGGCGTTATACGATGGCATAGGAGAGACGAAGTAGAGAACCGCTGTACGTCCCTAGATAAATGATACTATAGATAGGAAACTTGAATTTCGTGGTCATTAACAACGCTAACTGTTGACACTTTCTCCAACTTCTATTGCTTTCCTTTTCTAGGAATTATCGGTAATACAGTGAGTTAAATTACCTGTAGCCGGTAAAAGATGCAAGCGCCATCTAGTTGTACGCTCTACAACTATATACCTACCTACTCAATATTTGTTTTAGGTATTCTGCCGCCGCTAAATTTAAAATTACATAACAAATCTCACCCTACACAGATCACTCAGAAATTGATTTTGTAAAATAATTTTCACGTAGATAATTTTTTTTGTCACCATGAGAAAATAAGTACATTTGATAAAAAGCATTAAAATCACTCAAGCATTAAAGAC